CTAAAAGCTTTGTTTTGCAATATGGAAGAATCAATCCTCTTCATCGCTTTATATCGAACATTTGCCAGTGAAATGGTTTATTTACTCCTCGAGTTTTCTTTTTCTGAAAAAACGCGTTTAATTTCACCTTTTATTTTACTTCTCTTCGTAGACTTACGAACAATTCGTTTTTCGTACAAATCTACTTTGGTTCATCCTAATTTTTCCACTGAATCTTATATTATTTTCTTTAAATGTGAATATTTATATCGCAACGAAATTTATAATTTTATTCTTTTTTTCAGAATAATTTATAACTAATTAATAACTAATTAATAACTAATTACTAATTAGTTTTATATGAAATTGCACTCATTTTTTTAATGAATTTGTTGCAATGTTGCCTTTTAATATTTATTGTATTTTATCCAGTAAATCTGTTTTTCTTCTAGGGATACTTGCCTTTTCCACTAGCTAATTCCACTGCCTATTAGGGCTAGAGTTTTAACGATAGAAGTCCCCAGATCAGCAGTCTGATTTCTTTTTTAACGACACCTTCCAAGCGAATCGAACTTGTTTTCTGATGGCTTCACTTCTGAAGAAGGAATTTAACTATAATTCATTATTTTAAATTCCATTATTTCCTTATAAAAAAATTTTACTCATATGAATTTTTAATTTCGCTTCTGGGAAAGAAATTATCCATATCAAAATATGATCTAAATCTCTTTTATATTCTTTTATCTTTATCTTCTTAAGGAAAAACACCTGGGGATGACGGTACTTTTTTTTCTTTCTTTGAGTTGAAAATTCGATTGTTGCGGGCATATGGTGGCCGTATGAGATTCTTACAATATTAGGTGCAGATTTTTGATTAATTCATCAATTGCTTCTTTATTGTCTTTTAGATTATTTTTGTTTATTTTTTTTGTTTATTTTTATTCTTGTTTTTTTTAAAATAATTTTTCTTAGTTTTTGTTATTTGAATGCATGTTTACTTGCTTTTAGTAATAATTTGCTACCCTTTTCATTTCATTCTTTTTTTTATGCAATTTTTTCGAACATACTCGAGGCTATCCACAGTTTATTAATCTATCTTAATTTTCACCTTACTAATATAGCTAAAAATTTTTATAATGAAATAGAGTTTCTACTAAATATTTGGGTCAAGTACTGACTTCCGATAAGGCATTTTAATAAATTTTTGTAGATGCAGACAGATTAGAATAAATTCGAACTATTTCTATCAATCAAATAATTCAAAAATCACATATAGTCCAACAATAAGTTTTATTTAAGTTTAAATTAAAACAACTGCTATGAAAAATGATATGTCGATCAACAAAAGAAATGTAAATCTACCGAACATCAACTATATTTTAACAGTTGCATTAAGTCGTCGTAGAACATCTGTCGAAAACGATGATTGTTAATTGGCTAATTTTTAAAATTTTCCTTAGCAGAATTTTCGTTAAAATTTTTTAATTTTGTACTTTTTGATGATTCTAAAAAATTCCACAAAAGATTCTTTAATTCTTTAATTTACATGTTTTCCTTATGATATGTAAAAAATTTTATAAGAAATTTAACATAGAAGTGGAAAGATAACGATAAAGAATTATTCATTTAATCGTAGATTATTCATAGATAATACAAAGAACCAAAGAAAAAGTTTCATCGTACAAATAAAAATTTATAAAAACCTACATTTTATATTTTTGTAGCTGAGATAAGATTTGAATAAAGCATTATCTAGCCTTAAAAAATGACATTAATGACATGAACAGAAAACTGTTTAAAAAAACTAGCACAGTTAGTGTTTCGAACCCAACCGCGCTTTTATCACCCAAGTGGCTCTGTGGCGAAATGGTACCACTCTATTAGCCAATGAAATCTAAGGAAAGAATGGTGAGTACCGTCGGAAAACGAAAAAGAATCATAAAATGGCGAAAGACAGAAGCGGATATAAATTTTTATGTTTCGCTGAAATTTTCCCGTGATTAAAACCTATTAGAAAGTTGAATTTTTTTGCGCAATTAAATTTTTTTGAAGTGATTTTGCATTAATTTCATGAACAAAACTTAATTTTTCTGTATTTCTTAATAAGGCCTATGATAGGAGAATATTATGAGATTGAAATAGGGCACACATCACTTCTCTATATTTATGCTATACTTAAAATGTCAAAAATTTATGTGATCAAGCTTCTTGTCAGATTATATTTCATATTAAATTAGTCTTGAAGGAATGTTTGTTGAATTATTTTCAAATTTAATTTAAATTGCCTAAATTCAAATTTAATTTAAATTTTTTATATTATAATTGTTGAAAGCAATTATAAATAAAAGTTACCGATATCATCGCAGAGATTTGAATTACCGGAGAAGTATAGTAAAAATTATAGAGTTACTCTACAACTGAGGAGAGAGGGGCGGTGGGGGGAGGTGGCCGTGCATTAGTATTCTGAGAATCGTTACTCGAATATAGCCGGATAAATCAAGAGATGTATTAAGATCTGAAAAGAATTTTACTTCATCCTTACTTGGAAGTTATTAGTTATTACCGAATAACAACTTAATTATTTTTATTTATTATTATCCATAGTCTTTTGTTTTCGGAATTTCTCATTCCATTTACGAAAGGATAACAATTTATGATTGAAAAAATGGAATTAGATAATGCACTTAATGTGATTCTTATAAAATAATCAGGTTTATTGTTTCCTCTTTCTTGATATCCATTAAATAAAATAAAAACTTAAAATTAACGCTCATTTTCGCTCATTTTTATTGTTGCGAGTTTTACATCATCATTATGAATATATCATTAAATACAATAATAAATATAATGATGTATATTTTGATTGGTGCCAATAAATCTAATAATAATCTACCAACCATCTCACCTCTTTCTCATTTCATATCATTCAAAATGACTTTTTGGCCTCATTTACGAATTTTCATAATCGCATCATTTTTTTCGCTGAACCAGCCTGTCTTTTTATAATTTTTAATTTTAATTCAGAAGTTTATTAGTGTTGTATAAAGTGAAACAGACTGGATCAAGACTGACAAAATTTCTTATCTCTCTCTTATATTTCTTGTGTTGTGCCAATGGCGAAGAGAAATCCATTTGTTTTCATCATAATATATATTCGAATCTCTACCTCAGCGTCAGGTTTGTTTTCATTTGGAATTCATTTGTTCATAAACTGTCATACCATTAATTAAATATAAAAATTTTGTGAACATTTTTCACATTTGAACCTAACAGTACTCAGAATTTTTGGCTGGCTGGTTATCCTAGTTATTAGGATTTAACTCACCACTTCTCATAGGCTCGATCCACTGATTGTTGGTGCAATCAAAAACTCTTTTGTTAGGGGAATTAACAACTTTAGTTCGAGGTAGAAGTATACATGAGTTGCAGGCAAATCCAAATTCTTTAATGACACGTTTACGCAGTTAGAAGAAGGATCAGGACCACTCTTCCCCTAATTATTAAATGATAAACGTTGCTCATGCAATAAATTTGGAAGCACTCCAACATCATATTTTAATCTGATTTATTTAATGAAGAAAAATGATGGGTATTACATTTTTGATATTATTTGTTTAGTTTGAGCAAATATACAAATTTGAGTGAAAATCGGGAAAATACACTAAATCAGGTTATACACTAATTACACACTGTAAATCTCGGTTTAATAAAAATTTGATAAATTACATCTAATCATTCATTTGCTAAATAGAAAAGTTGATTTATCTTGGATAGATTAATCAGTCACTATTATACTATAATTTAAATATGCTTAAAAAACCATTTAGCTGCATCAAAGAAACATATTTCTTTAGTTATCTCGAGTTTTATTTTATTCTTCTAATAATGCTTATCATTTCTGATTTGGCTGGTTTCACTGGCCATTAGGATGGGAATCTTTCCTTAGACAATTACTTGATGCAATAGATGCAGAAGTAATTCTCTGCACCAGTCGGATTTTAAACAGTACGTTTCCTTCAAAGCCCGGAAATCGAGCAGAAATGATGGCCTGATCTTAATCGAGGCAATAGACCGCTGGATCATTCAGTTTTATCATCATAATTCATGCACAAAATAATTTGAATTCTGACATTTGAAATGCAGATAAATAAATAAATTTATTCAAATTATAGAACTTTTTAGATGGAGAATTTACTTATCGGTGGTTTTCACGGAACTTGGAAGTTGAAACTTGATTTTGATTATATTCAAATGATTTTGATTATATTCAAATGATGAACTTTGCAAAAATTTAGTTTTAAATCTAGCAATTTGGTTTCAAACTGAAAAAATACTATACGTAGAAGTTTTTTGTTTTATTGCTTTCCTAAAGTATTAAATTTAAGTTTTTATCTCTAGAATCTTTAGTACAATAGATCACTGTTGGAATCAATTCTTTTCAATAATCTCCTCATCCTTGTTCTTTCACCACCATAAATTTTATTTCTTGCATATGTACAACAGAAAATTTATTATTTTCATTGTGATTTCGCTCCACAAAGATAAGATTATCGAAGTAACCTTTTGTAGTACCTATTGTGTATTTTCACAAAGAATTCACACCTTTAATGGCAAATTTCAAAAATTAATGATGATTTAATGAAAGGGTAGGAAAGGTAGAGAACAGTATCACAACGACTACCATAAAAGGGAATTTCAAAAAAGGTCAAAGGTCTCACTGAATGAAATCTCTTATTCCGTCCACGATTTATTGAATTTCATAGTGATTAACCAATTACATTTTGCTTTTATCCATTTGATTTTTCTTTGTTTCTCTCTTTTTTCTTCAAAAAATATTTGATTCTTTAAGAAAAGTTTCCAGGATTTCTGTAGAAAACTTCATAATTTATAAATATTAATTTATAAATTTATATAAATTTATAACAACTTTGGAAGACTTTCAACTACCTGTTACTTACATTAAAAAGTAAGGAATTTCAATTTGTGGTTGGTGAATTTTTTAAGAGGGTAAATATAGGAAGATGTCAAGCGGTTTTACTAAACAATGACTTTTATTCGAAGCTATATGAATAAGGAATTTCCGGTATTATTATCGGTTAACCTTGGCATAGCGCCAGGGATTATTGTGACCCGCTAATCTCAGCTTTTATGTACAAATCGTCTATCCATGGCTTAGTGTTGTGTACACCACACAAAATGCACTTCGGTGTACAACATTTGTTACTTTTTTGTTTATCTAATGATTTAACGTTTCATTTTAATTCATTATTTTTGCTAAATTTATAAAATTTAAGAAATATCTGCAAATTAAGTAAAGTTAAATTATTTAAAGAATTAAATAGCAAAGAGTAAATTTCAAAGAAAATTTCAAATGGCTAGAAAAATAAAAAAATTTTAACATCTTAAGATTATTTAATATTCACAATTCTAATAGCACTCACCATTTCTAGTTTGGCTTGGGCTCCATGACTTTGGAAAGACTTTCAACTACCTGTTACTTATATTAAAAAGTAAGAAAGGAATTAAGGTGATAACCGTTAGTCAGAGAGGTCGTACAATCAAATTGGTACCAACCACCATTCATGTACCAAACCAAGTCTTAATTTGATTATAATTTCAAAACCTTAGTCTAAAAACTTAAATTAAGTCAAAAGGACAAAAATGCTTCTCTCTAATCAACAAATGAACCAGTAGAAATTCAAGATGCCAAGTTTTTTATAGTTTACAAGTTAAAAAAATTTTAGATGAACAAGTGTTTTTAACAACACCAAAAAGCGAGCCTTATTTCGTTCTTGAAGGTCAAACAGATTTAATCTTAGAATGTAGTTTCTCACCGAAATACTCGAATCGGTCTCGATATGAAGTTGCATGGACAATGGTCACCCAAGATTTACCCAAGTAAATTTCCATATCTATGTTATTTATCGTATTTGGTTAATATTTTTCAGGCTATTTTACCAGACAGAAAAACTATTATTAAATAAATAAAAAAAAGTTTAAAAATGAGAATTTTATCGCAATTTATCGCATAAGAATTTTAAATAGCATTGTCCATTGTCCTATAAAGTATGTTTTCTTCAATAGTCATTTGATTTCTTTGACATAGCGAATACATAGTATTTGAAAATTTATGATATTTGAAGTTGTTGAAATTCTTTGGAATAAATTTTCTATTTGAGGGCATAATTAAGGGAAAATTCCTTCAAGTTAAAAATCTAGTATCAACCGAATAATTCTTTATATTTTCCAGGCATTTGACGAGAAATGATGCTTCGTTCGTTAAATCTAAATATGAGTTGTTACAAAACGATAGAAAATACAATTTGCAAATAAAAAGAGTACAGTATCAATATGATAATGGCAAATTCTATTGTACGCTTCTGGATAAAGAAAATGGAGCACAGAAAATAGCTCAAGCAACAGTTGTCGTTATGGGTTAATCTTATTATTTTACTTAAATCCTTTTGATAATTTTCTTCACTAATTTAACTCTTTAACTCCTTATCATCGGAAAATTCAATATATCGTTAAATTTTTAGATTTTATAATTTTAATCTGACTTTTTTTCAAATTTTAAGACTCTTTCAAGGTCAGAGCTCGTTAATTTGTGTTAATATTTATCATTTGCTATCTTGATATTTTAAGGAAAAATCATTTTATATCTCTCCATGTAATCTATTTAAAAATCACCATTATAATCGCCTACATCATTGCAAATTAGCGTTTAATTCAGCGAAAAGAAATTTTATCTTATAAGTCGATCAAATTTTTTTTTTTTGTATTTATAATAAAAAAAGAATTTCTTAAAACAATCAAATGAACGTAAAAGAATTTCTCAAAAAATTGGTAAAAAATTTATTCATTTTTATAGATAATAGCAATTAAAAGGTCATTCATAAAGGTCATTTAAAATGCAAAACAGCTGTTAAAATAGCAAATAAAAACAAGAAGCGTTAATTGGTCATTGTTGTTATTACAATTAACCATTCTATATTACGTAAATGTATATAATTTATATTCATTTATATTGAGGGACAGAAAATTCTGAAAATGTATCAGAATTTTTGAGAACCACTTAGAATGCGTCTTTTGTTTGTCGAATAATAATTTTTGAACAATTTGAGAATTTCGAAATCTAAAAAACATGCACCCTGGTGTGATATGAAAAAAGAGAAATATTACCATTGCGAGTTTACGAATTATAACCCATTGTCGCCCTGAAGTTTTAGTCCAAAGAATATATTAAATGCTCAGTTTAATAATAATCTTTTATAAACCTAATAATTTATTCGAGTATTAAAACATTTTACTCGTGTTGAAAATTAGAATCTAGAATTCTTAAAACTCGTAACGATGAATGGTAATGGGAAAATATGATTTATGATTTAAGAGATTTGTAGGTGGCTATACCATAGTTTTTAAGAATAAAGGAATGTAAGAAAATAGAAAAATATAAATATATAAAATATAATATACAAAAGAGGATTCATTCCAGTAAATTTTTCAAAGTTTTGTATTATTTTTTAATATTTCCTTCATCTAAAATTATCTTTTATTTTTCCGACAAACAAAATGTTTTAATAAATTTACAAAAAGAATCTAAAAGAAGATTAAGATTTTTATATTTGTCGTGAGGATTTATTTATTTATTTGTTTGATATTCAAATTTTCCTTCCTTTATTTGCTGAATCGGTATATTGCAAGGTCGCACATAAAACTCGAAATCATTTTCTTTTTTAACACACCTATTCAATATATTTTAAATGAGGGATATTTCTCTCATAAATCTTCTGTGACCTGGAAATTATGATATAAGACTGAAGGGCCCATTTGATTATCACTTTATCATTCAATTCTGCTATAATTTATGGTCATAAAGTTTAGTTATCAACTCATCACCGGTTGAGGAAATACCCGACTTTAAATACCTTGGATCCACTCTAATCCCAAATGGCCAGGCAAAGGATGAAATTATAACCTGGATAATGACAACCAGAAATGTATTTTTCCGGTTGATGAAACCTTTATGAGACGGTCGGGAAATCACCATGAAGATGAAAATCCGTGTCCATATAGTTGCATTTCGCTTGTTCTTTCTATATGGCTTCCAAACATGGCCAATGAAAGTGGAAAATATTAAGAAGCTATGAGCTTTTGACCACTCATGTCTAGGATTCATTTTACGGATAGTCAAACGGATAAAATCGCACATGATTGTATTTATCTTCACTGAAATACCACCTATATTAATAATGTTATCACAGAGCTTAGTCTTCGCTAGTTAAGGCACATTCTCCGTCGTCCACCACAGAAAATAACGCATATTTCGCCAGTTACAGAACCTGTGATGATTAGCGTCAAAAGCGAGGAGAGGCAATCAAGACTAGGACTGATACAGTCAGAAAAGATTTTGAACATATAGAGGGACTAGCGATATATGGACTTAGATGGAAAAAGAAATTGCTTCTATTACTTCTATTGCTACATGGCTTCGGACCGAGCAGATTGGAGACGTCTAACCAGTCGAGCCAGTCTAACCAGTAATGGTGAGAGCTGTTAAAAGAAGAAGATAGAGATAAGTTATCAATTGAAAAAATTTCTCCAAGATTAATTCAGGAAAAAACGATTATTCATAAATTATATGAAGTTTATCTTTAAAAGAAATATAACTATAATTGCATTTTATGTTTTCGATTTCTCTTCTTCTTCTTCTTCTAACAGCTCTCACCATTACTGGTTAGGCTGGCTCCAACGGCTACAAGGGTAAGACGCTTCCAAGCGGCGCGGTCTGATGCCATGGTCGACAGTAATGGAAGCCATTCCTTTTTCCATCGTCTAAGTCCATATATTGCTGGTCCACCTATACGTTCAAAATCTTTTCTCACCGTATCAGTCCAGGTCTTGATTGGCCCACCTCGCTTTTGACGCCAACCATCACATGGTTTAGCAAGTAACGAAATATGCGACAACTCTTGTGATGGACGACGGAGAATATGCCCTAACACCGAAGGCAACGCTCTATGACAACATTATTTATGCAAGTGGTATTTGAACGAAGGTGGATGCGATATAGTGAGATTTTACCCACTCGGCGAACCGTAATATGTGCCTTAGACAAGAGTGGTCAAAGGTAGATAGCTTCTTAATATCCTCCACTCTCATTGGCCATGTCTCAAAGCCATATATTAAGATCGAGCAAATCACAGCTATATAGATGCGGACTATCGTTTCAATGATAATTTCACGGCTCCATAAAGGTCTCGTCAACCGGAAGAATGCATTTCTAGCTGGCTATAATATCCGAGCTATAATATCGTCTTTTGCCTGGCCATTTGGTATTAGAGTGGACACAAGATATTTAAAATTGGGCACATCCTCGACCGGCAAAAAATTTACAAAAAGAGGCAGCTTGCACATAATACGAAAAGACTTTTAGTGTATATTGACCCTGAGTCCTATTCTTGCTGCGGTTTTTGACATGTTATTTAGCATTACTTTCATTTCGTAATAACTGTCAGCAAAAAGGACTACATCATCAGCGTATTCAAAATCTGTGATATGATGCTTTGGACTGATTTGGACACTCCTTGAGTGCAGTGTCCGTTACCCAGTCTATCGCATAGTTGAATATTGTAGTGGAAAGGACACAGCCTTGACGAACACCAGTTTTTATTTCGAAGGAGTTCCCATATCCATAGACCTACGCCGACGTACGCTCATAAAATTCCTTTATGAGTCGAATGATCTTCTCTGGAACACCGTCGCATTCCATCACCCTCAAAAGCGCCGCTCTATCAATTGAATCAAAGGCAGCCGCAAAGTCGATGAAACACGTGACAGTGGCTTGCAAATATTTGAAGCGATGTTCCAACACCCTTCTTAACGTGAATATCTGGTCAGCACAACCGCGCCCTGGTCTGAAACCAGCTTGATTAGGGCGCATCCTGCTGTCTCGTACTTTCATAAGTCTGTTGAGTAGCAGGGAAGCAAAAATTTTTGCTGAGACGTCTAATAGGCTTATTCCTCGATAATTATCACAGTATGTCCTATCATATTTTTTGAGAATTGAGAGCAGAATTGCTTCTCCAATCATGTGGCAATATTTCTTTTTCCCATACTAGTGAGTACATTTGTTGAAGGTGCGTTATGAAGGACAATGGACAGCATTTGAAAAGCTCAGCCCGAAGACCATCTTCTCCTGAAGTTTTTTTGGCTTTAAGCTTATGGATAACTGAGATTATTTCTTCTGTTGGAGGCTCGCAATTGCAAACGTATGCTTCGGCAAACGTATCAGCTATATCAGGGGCAACAGATGGCGCTTCATGGTTAAGTTGGGATTTCAAAGAATTCTTTCCATCTTATGAGGCGATCCTTAATACTTTTAATTAGAACGCCATTGCTGTCTCTTACCATTTTACTGATCGTTCTCCGAGTCTTAGTTGCTTTATGAAGAAAGCAGAATAGTTTCCTATTGTCGCCCAATCGAGCCGCCGCCTCCATTCTTGAGGCCATGTCACTCCAATAGAGATTTCTGTCCCGCCTTGCTGCTTTCGTTGCAAATCTTCGAAGCACCCGGTAGTCAGGATCAGCTGACATTCGTGCCTTGGCAGACAATTGGACAGTTGCTTCCGATACCCAACTAACGCACTTCCTACTAATATGCCCTAGCGTGGAAGTGGTTGATTTTCGGAGACATTCCTTTAGTTTGCACCAGTATTCATTTGTCGTTCAAGAGAAATCATTGATATTTGTATCATTGAGGTGCTTCAATAATTCAGTTTGAAATGCACTCACTGTGCCCGAATTTTTTAGTTTGAGATAGTTTAAGGATCTTGGGGATGCTGTTTTCTGCGAGTTGTCAATTTTATGCGAATCTTGGCTCGAACCATAACATGGTCGGATCCATGAAGATTACCTGTTTCAGCTCCGCGATAGGAACAATTATCTAGTACGGAACTCTTCCAACAGCGATTGACTAAGATATAATCAATCTGGTTGAAGTGTTGGTTGTCCGGGGAGTTCCACGTGACTAGATGTTTTTTATGATGCCGGAAGCAAGTATTAGTAACAAAAAGTTCATGCTCTTCGGCATAACGAAGAAGACGTTCCCCATTGGTACACCGATCTCCGATGCCATATTTGCCAATTGTTGAGGTCATCGCAGCTGCATTATGACCTACGCGAGCATTCCAGTCTCCCCCGATTATGATCATGTCATGTTTCGGTAGAGACTTTGTTAGCAGTTGAAGTTCCGCATAGTTCCGCATATTTTATGAAAAGAATATTGGAAATATATTTCTAAATGAACAGAGTTATAAGCTCTTGAAAAGATCTAAGAATCGTAAGAGAAAAAAGAAACATTTAGGAAAATTGATAAATTAATGTTCTGGAAATAGTTATATTACTAATATATATATTAGTTATATATATTATATATTATATTATATATTATATATTATATTATATTATATATTATATTAGTTATAAAATTATGCTATATGCAGTATTGTTTGCTTATTATATCTCTAGGGAAGAGGTGGAATAATTATAGAACTTTGTGATCAGTTAATAATCTTGCTTCAAATTTCCTTTGGGAGAAGGCAGTTTCGAAGAATATTATGGAGTTGTTTACAACGAAATGTCAAAAAATAGCGTTTTTTTTGAAAATTTATAATCCAAATCATATAATAAATTTTTTTCCTGCAAAACCTTGGAATCATTGGTCTATAATTTGGAAAAAATAAATCATTGGTCACTGCTTGGGAAGAAATTCTTCTTTTTCTAATAGCTCTCACTATTGCTGGCTATATAAGTGGTCGAAAACTAATGGTTTCTTAATATCTTCCACTCTCATTGGCCATGTTTCGCAGCCATATAGCTGTTCGATCTTGCTATATGGCTGCGAAACATGACCTAATATGGACGCGGATTTTCGTATTTATGGTGATTTCGCAACGATTCCATAAAAGTTTTATCAACTTGGGAAAAAATGCAGTAAGTTGGTTATAAGAGAGCGATGCGAATAAAATAACGATGAATTTCAGATGAGTGAACTAATAAGATATGAAAAACACCTTCTACAAATATTTGTATCCATTAAAAAATATAAATTTTGGGCGCAGGTTGTTATAAATCTAAATTTGTGGATTTTTTAAATTTTCCGTAGCTTCTTATTGATCAAAGCCCATACTTTTTCCTTTGGATTAATGGATATTATATTATAAATAAATCATAATCAGTGTCATGAATTCGAATTTGAATAGACTGCTAAGATAGAAACTCATACCACCAGAATTGATTTAAGGAGATCAGATTAAGCCATCATAAGTTCGATTATTATATGCGGGGAAAAAGAAGAAGCGCAATTCAGATGGCATTTGCGAATTCCAAATTCCTAGGAACTTTTGCCATTGTTAGAGTAAAACTAGCCAAACCAGAGAGAATTAGAACTAATTCGCCTCAGTAATTACACTCGATATGAAAGGATTAAAATATAATAGATTCGTCTTATTTTCGACATCTAAACATTGTTTTAATGCTCACTTTGCGAAAAACTTTTTCATATAAAAAAAAATTTTTTTGCATTGAATGCTGTAACTTTTGGGTAAAAATGACAAAATTTTCCGAAATATTTTTGTTTAATTGAAAAATTCTTAGTGAAATGAAATATAGGTTTATGAAATGAACACGTGACAGTGGTTCATAATTGTTTCCAGAAATGCAATCAATGATGAGATTAATGCTTGTAGCAGAGAGAATTATTGGTATTTTTTGTCAAGTGCACTGACCGGAAATTTATTTCAGAGTTTTCCATTTAATTTCTACCAAAATCTTTTATAATTACCTTCTTTTTCGCAAAATTATTCTTTAATTAATAATTCCTTATTAAGATTATTGTATTTGAATGCCATTTGTTTTGAAGTATTATCAAAATTTGTTCATCGCACATATATATTATCTTATATAAATATTTTTATTTTTCTTTAACGCAGTAAATCTTATTTATATAATTATTTTATGAAATTATATAATTATCTGCCTTTCTAACACCGCCGCCATTTCTAATTTTGCTCATTTTACTAATTATGATGAGACTAGAAAATTACTTGGGAATGCAGATCGTTCCATAGCATCGCCAAAATTTCACTTTTTATGGCATTCGTTTAGAAATGAAATAAGTATGCTTAAAATCGGTTCTTGGATAAAATAGAATGCCATAGTTGACCATCGTGCCCTAAGAATTATTTTAAATTATTAAATTATTAAGAATTATTAAATTGGTCAAAAATCAATAAAAATTTCTTTATATATTTGTGGAAAATTGTTCTAAATATTTGTTCTTAATTCTTGCTCTGCCTGATTATTATTAATATTCATAATTCATGATATTGTGGGTATAATATATAATTTTCGACTTAATATGTTTTATTAAATAGATTTTTGGGTCTCATTGCCAGTAATTCTAATAAAAGGTTATTAGATGCAGCCGTAAAATAAAACCGAAGCCAGGTGATGGTAATTAAACAATTTTAATGCGAATATATAAGAATCTAAAGTAAGTAAAGTAGATTTGAGGACAATAAAAATATAGTATCATTAATGTGATTTTTTGCGTGATGTGCAGTGAAAATTATTTTCATGTTAAAGTCGTCGCATTGCTAAATACATGCTCAAAATGGATCCAAATCCAAATGATGCAAATTGAATTGAATTAATCTCAGATTTCAGATTCAAGATGAGCTTTAATGAAAGCTTAGCCCTTTCCTATATGAGAGCATCAGTTTACAATAGATCTAATATGGCTTGTGAATTTCTTCATTTTTTCGGAAATGATTTGATCTTCATAAATAAATTGATTATTTTGTTTTTAGTATTGTTTATTATTGTTTTTATCATAAAATGATCATAAAAATCATGTACTATAGGAAAACTCCTACATACTCCTTAGAAATAATCTTCAATAGTTATTAATGAATAACAATTAGATAACTAGTTAAGTAAATAATAAACATTTGTATTAAAGAATCAAAGAAGTTTTCACTACATTTTTAATGAACCGCTTTTTGCATCATTAAACCATCAATTTTGATAATAATATCATTTTTCCAGTAAATTTTCCTAAAATTAATTTCATTCACTTATTGCAACAATTAGCTTTAAATTGATTGTTTAATTTTAACTATAAAAAATTAAATCCATATTAATTTTTAGTTGCTCCTGAAGATCCTGAAATAACTCGCGAACCAATTATTGCTGTCCAGGAACATGACCTCGTTATTATTACTTGTCAGTCATCCGGTGGAAATCCTCCACCATTATTTACTTGGTTTTTCAGCAACAGTACAGCAGTTCCTAAGGATTGGTATCAAACTAAATCAGCATCTTCGCGAAATGAGTCGTCCGTTTCAGATCTACAGTAAGTTTTGAGAAATTCGGTTTTGCTTTATGAGAATTTATAGAATCGCTAAAAAAACTTCTGTTGCAGATGGCGAGTTTCAGCTCGAGATCATGGTACTTATTTAATTTGCCAAATCACAAATAAAGCTTTAACGGATGGGACTTTCAAAAATGCCTCCACAAAGCCCTTGAATGTTAGTTGTTTTATAATTTTTGCATATTATTCGGACAAGTTGAAAACAAAATTATCCCTATTTTTTTTGAGGAGCTCTGCAAGATTATTTTTTGTTTTTTTTGTTTTTATTTTTCTTTTGAACAGTTTTGTTCTTATGTGTTTCGCTAAAATTCTTCGTCATAACCCTTTTGGCAATTATCATCGTGAGCAATCAGATAAAGGAGTAAATGATTCGTAAACAATATTGAATTCATGATGTAATCTATAAAAATCTTCTCAAAAACAGAAACGGGCAGTAACCGACATGAAATCACGCGACAATGCACGATCATCAGCACATTTAAAGAGGGGGTCAATAACACTCGAAAAAGAATCTCATACACTACAAATAACGCCGATCATATCATTAAATAATTAATCTTTAATCAGCTAGTATTCATTTAATAATAATCCCGTAGATATTAATAATACGAGTTTATGAATACCATTTTTGCAAAGGGAATTTGGTAAAGTAAAAAAATCTTGATAAACCAAAAGTAATACTTCATTCATAAATTCGGATTGCTAATTCCATTTATTATTAAAATTAAATGAATATTTAAATCTGAAGACAAACTAATAATTTTGGACTAACGATCTTTTAATATACATATTGTCTTTTAAGAAGAAAAGATAGTATGAAACCAATCACCACTCATACCAAAATGACTCCAACTTTTACCAGTCTCATTGGCTGTAATTATCTTCTTCAAAATCCTAGTACTTTTTATAATTTTTATCTTTCATTTTACAATGATACGTAAAGGTTTTTTCAGGTCCTTTACGCACCTAGGGTTACAGCAGGTCCGGTTCACGAATATAATGTTGAAGAAGGTGATGAAGTCAAACTTATATGTGTTGCAGATGGTAATCCATCTCCATCAGTGTTTGAATGGTACCATGTTACAACAGGTAATTTATATTTTTATTGTTATGCACTGTTCTCACATTCTATTTAATCTCATAAAAGTATTCTTCAAATTTTTACTAATGATCTTACCTTTTTTTAATTAAAATTAGTGAAATTATGGCATTAGTTACTGTGGAAATGACAAATTCTTTTTCATATTTATAATACTATTCTTGAAGGTGAACGGCATCCGGATGCAGCCTGGAATTTTGTGGCAAAGAAGAGATATTCGGGTGAATTCAGATGTATGGCAGTGAATTCAGTTGATAGTGGAGTTGATAAACTGGATTTAAATGTCCTTTATGCTCCAGTAATCAGAGTTAAAGTAAGCATTATCTTCTCTTCCATTTTTCTATTATTCCTTATTGCAAGTTTAATTTCCATTTTATTTTTCACCATTATTCTGCAATATTTCTCCTATAAATATGTAATTTTCTATGCTTATTCCTGAATTTATTTTTAGGAAATAATCAAACCAGCAGAAGGTGATTCAGTTACTCTTGAATGTCTAATCGATGCAAATCCAGCCACTGATAATGTGACATGGCTTGACCCCAGTGGAGTTCTATATAATGGAGCGAATTTAGTGATCAGTTCAGTTAATAGGTTAAATTACTATATATTTTGTATATTTGTTCTTTTTTCTTTATAAATAATGGTAATATATTAGAAAAAGCATACTGACTATCCATTCAAGCTACATCGATCCAACAGTGATCGCAATTATAGGATAAATTTTCTTTTCATCCTTGAGCGAAAAATATTCCTTATCAAATTTTTTTACAAAATAGATTTTTTTTATTATTTAGATTCATAAAAATTTAGGTCACATTCTGGTAATTATACTTGCTCCGCAAGTAACAATTTAACAGTTTTTCAACAAAAAAATAAGCCGATATATATTCGCACTTCGGAAGCAATTTCTGTACTTGATGTTGGTTGTTTTTGTAACTTTTTTTGGGAAATAGACTACCATATTTTATGGATATGTATTAATCACTCTTGTTTGCCTATGCTATGGAGAGGATTTAATTATGAGCTATTTTTTAGAAATAATTTGTGGTGAGCTCCGAAAGTGTTTAACTATTTCGAAGGAATGTATTTGTATTTTGATTTTTTGATTCATAATTTTATAAAATAAATTCGCATTAAAAAAAAAAAAAAACGCTAATAGATGGTTGTCGCTATATCTTGTCATTCAAGGTACAACATCGACCTGGCCAAGGCATAATCGAAGCGACTCAAACAATCATAGAAGTTGGTGGAAGAACTACCCTCACTTGTAACGCAGCAGATAGAGGTAGCCCACCTGCTGAATATCGATGGGCAACACCGAAAGCAGGTGGCGCATATAGCGATTATAATTCATCAGTTTTAGAAGTTGACCATGCCACGCTCACAGACAATGGTGAATATCGTTGTATGCCTCATAATATTATAGGCAATGGTATCGAAGGTGTCATCGTACTGCAGGTTATTTTGCATTACACATATTATTTATATTTATAGTTAAATAAAAAACGATTCTAGAACGATTCTATGTACCTTAAATAGATCCATCCAAAGTATTCTACTTTTTTCATATATTGTTTGATATGTGCCTGTTATTGCTTTTATAATCTTGTCATCCCTCTGCAGATTTGATTGATTGGTTCACCTTTCATTTAAAAATAAATTCTTGAAACATTTCATGGAAAATATTTGTCTAAAGTAAATATTCATCATTGGAGCCATTCATTTTTATAGGTGATTGAATTGGCGAAGATCACTCATTCTTTGCCTGACAACCGAATTTTTAATATTGGTGACTCGTCTGTTTCATTAACATGTAAAGCTCAGGGATATCCTACACCTGTATTTCGCTGGTTCAAAGATGATGTTGAGATAAAGGAAATTCATGATTCGAAATGGATTATTAATTCGGAACAGCGCGACAACAGGTGGGTTTATTTCTTTTATTTTATTTGTTCATAACATATTACTTCTTGGTGAGTTATTTAATTTAAACCATAGAGATCCAATCAATTCAGTAAATTACAAAATAATGCGTAAATCGAATATGTTTATTAAAATTGTACTATATATTATCATATTGTCATATTTGCCGTATATATAAGCATAGCATAAGATATAAATTGTAATATTAGAAATATATTAGATTTTAAAATAATAATTAATAATAATAGTGAATAATAAAATAATCATAAAAAATTTTTAAAATTCGAACGAAGTTCGAAAAAATAAAAAATCGATCTTGATATATAAATTATAAAGCCATTTATTAATTCGTAATAGTTAATACATGAAATAACTACGATCTCGATGGAACTCGACTTATATTTTAAGACATAAATGACTTGAAAAACTGATATTATAGTGCCCACAGGATCATTTATTTGCGAAAAGACCAAGCAAAGCATAACTTCATAACTGGTGATACGAAAAACATAAATCTAAATTTAAATGCTTTTGTGCGGAGTTCGTCTTATGAATAAAATGTAACTACATTACCAATTATAAATTTTTTTGTTGTAGATGTGTTTCGGGTGATTTTTGTTCAGTTGCAATTGTATCGACATTAAGATTTGTCGATACATTGGCATGGAATGATAAAGGTAATTATTCATGTGTCGCTGAAAATGGATTTCAAATGAAAGCTGCATCTAGTTGGGCCATCGTTAGCATAATCCATGAACCAGTCATCCTTAATGAACGTTTTCCAGTTGAATCGTTGGCTGCTTTTAATGTTGGATCAACGGTGAATTTTTTTTGGCATCCTTCTTGTAAATTTCTTTTAATAAACTAATAAAATTTTAAATAAATTTATTAAATAATAAATAAAAATAAATGTTAAATGAGCCAAGCAATTTTGTTATAAAATTTGAGAAAGTGCAAAAATATTAAAGGTTTGATTTATAGGCACGTCTAGTTTGCATTGTTTCTGCAAGGCCTGAGCCTCATTTCACATGGATTAGAAATTCAACAGAAATTCATGATGGTGACAATCGCTATTCCCTTCGTAAAACAAAAATATTAACAAAAATAGATGAATTTCATTCGACATTAGAAATATCTGAATTGAATCCGAAAGACTATGGTTCATATATGTGTCGTGCTACAAATGGTCTTGGATCAAAAGCTGAATTAGTTATTTTGCTGCAGTCAAAATGTACGAACTTTTCTCAGACTTAAGCTCTAAGCTCTAGAGTTCTCTAGAGTATCTTAAGCTCTAGAGTTTTTTCGCAAATGATAAATTTGCATTTGTGTTTTTAATCTAAAAAATTCAAATTTTAGCGAGACCATATATCCCTCGAAATGCTCGCATAATTTCTTCTGGATCTTCGTGGTTTATAATTGGATGGCATGAAGGATTTAATGGTGGCTCGCAGCAAAATTTTCAAATAGAATTTCGAAAAGTAAATCCATGGAAAAATAGTCCAGATGGGATTGAACCAAAAATCTATAATGTTAAATTGCATAATATTACCCATACGACATTTTATGAAGTCAGTTATTAAAAAGAGAATTCTCATAAATTTATTCCAACACTAAATTTTTGATCGGGATAGTACAAAAAGTAAATGGTTAGCGCTAATTGGTTAGGGATACTACATTTATAGTTGGTATAATCGGACGCTTTTGCCAGAAAGTCACTTGGAGGTGGAAATGTAGATGACTTGCCATCACCACTCCGATTTCTTAATGCCAACTTTAATCCTATATGAGGCATGAAAGAAAACTATTCTAATTCATACAAAATTTTAGGAAAATGAAGATAGGCGATCTTATCTTCCAATTACTTTTCTAATTTTTAATGTGAGTGGTTTAACTCCACTTAGTTCTTACTGGGTGAGGCTTCGTGCCAAAAATGTGCTTGGCGAAAGTGAATGGACGCCAATTATAACAGCAACAACAGTGGATGCTCAGGAAGTAACTGAAATAAATCCACCTCATTCGCTAGATTACGACAAAAAAGAGGAGCAAATAAAATATCAGGTAAACTAATATTTTTACGAAAATTTATTAGAAAATTCACTAATTTAAACATTTAATTTAAATAGAAAACATTTCCAAGAGATTTCTAGATGATTTATGTTCCCTATAATTTGTATTTGTATGTATTTGTTGTAGATGATTATTAAAAAGTGTGGAAATATTTGTAGTAATATCTGATAAATTCATTATTTTAAATATTTCAGCCAAAAGAAATAAAGCGAAATCTTTGTTTATTATTGTTGTTAAACACGGATCATAGCTATGGAATAAATGAAAATGATAATGGTGAATGGCGAGCAGTTGGCTGTTTTTCCGAGAATCCTATAAAAAATATACAACATTCTAGGAGATTTAAAGCTCGTCTTTGTTACAAAAATAACACATCGTTATGCTCTCAAACTTCAGAAATTATCTGTAATTTCATAATTCTTCTTTAATAATTTTCTTTAATTGTCGTTATAATGAAAAAAAAAGGATTATTGACCAAATTCGGTTGAATAATATGAGAGCAGTGTTCGCCATATCTTCTCTGATGGGTTTTATTCTGATCCTTTGATGCTAGTAAACCTGCCATTAAAAATGAAATACAGCAAACTCATTTGCATTTGCACCTTCATTCTCTGGCGAAAGAATTCTTAGAAGTTGCTAATGGCAAATTAATAAAGTATAATATGTATCGGAGAACTGCTGCGAAAAATCAGGGCGATAAAGCTTATCATCTTATCTTTTTATATTTCAGCTGTATCTTCTATATTCTCAGCGCCTTGGATTTATGTTATACCTTTGATAATCGCTGGGATAATTTTCGTTTTTTCTGTGCTTTTAATAACAATGCGTTGTCGAAATAGACGAGTTGTTTCGACTATTTTAAAGAAAAATCAAAATTATATAGCAAGTGAAAGGTGGATTCAATTTTATCTACTATTTTTTGTCTGCATAGTTAGAAAAAACTATTCTAGGAGTGCGGAGTGCCTAATAATTGACAAAACTGTCATATCGCGATAAAAAATATTTAAAGAAGCAGAATTATTAAATTTTCTCAATTAAAGAAGTTTATTTAAGCGACCGATTTTATTGATGATGTTACCCATTGATGCTTGGTGTTTACTTTCACTTTTATCCTCAAATGGTTCTCTCTCATTCTTCCCAGTAGTCAGTGGGGCTACCAAATCAGAAATAGTGCAAGTTAGAAGGCGAAGGAGAAATTTTTTATATTTATTTCGTTACTATGTGCAAAGAAAAGTTGTCGTTATTAGAACAAGTGGGAATTAGGCGTTAGAATTTTGTTTATTCAAATTTTTAGTTTGAAGAAAGGCATTCTTTTAAAGGAAGCCAAATGTAAGTGCTCCATTACCACAGTCGGATACTAAAGAAACTATCGTTCATGGCTCACAAACTGATAGTGGAATATTCACTATATCTTCAGTACCAAATGGTAAATCACCATTACAGCCAATGCCATCTTGCTGTCATCCATATCCACCGTAAGTGATAAAACATCCAGTTTATTGGAAAAATCAATTGTATTCATTGCTCAATCAAAAGACTTTGTTGAATTATTCTGGGTTGTATTGAATTGTACTGGAACATCCTTTTCCCAAATTTCTGAAATTCTTTCGGGATATGGTTGTGATTTAAAATTATAAATTTTGGTCTTAAATTTTTGCAGTTGTTACAATTTTTATAAAGTAACTCACAGTTTTCAGGCAGTTTTATATGATTAAAAATTTTTGACAGGGAGGTACTTCGCGATAATAATAATGGCATCAGCACCACCCGATTTTTTAATAGCAGGCTTCTTTATTTCTGTCGAACGAAAGCGAAATTTCTTTATTTCCGAATCCTTTTTCTTTAAGACGATAATCCAACCAATTATTCTACTTTCCATTGCAAAGATGACTTCAAATTCCCAAAATCTTTGAAAATTCTTGCAATTTCTTTAAATTTATCTATATTTTAACTCTATATTGAGCAATTTTCAATAATTTATAATTTTTAGAAATTATATTTATGCTGCTGATAATTGGTGTACTGTTGATAATGCTTATGAATTCAATGAGAGTCCGTATAATAAAGATTGCAATCAATTCATTCCGGAGCAGGATTATCATTTGTCACCTGCCACACAAGCCATTAGCAATATATATTGCTCAAGGTGATTTATTTTAAATTTCTATGAAATTTCGTTCTCATTTTTCATTTACAGAAAGTTTGCTGGTTTTTTAGAATTTTATTTCAGTTATTTTGATTGAATTTAGTGCTTTTTAATAGAATCGAAAATAGTTAAAATTATTGAACCACTGAAATATCAAGTCAAATCTTTTTCTTCTAACCAATCCTGGTTTAACTGATAGTTTTGACTGATATCACTTTTCTAGAGGATTATTCAAGGATAGAAGTAGAGGTGGGTCCCCAGCATTATTTAGAAGTTGATTCATCTTCATAAAAGGATAGTAATCGAGCTCATTAAATCAAATTGTCCTACATATGCTCGTTTTCCATGAATGAATAAATTGATTAAACTCATTCATTCATTAGATTTATCATCAATATATTCCCATTTTTCATTCACATTTATTAAAACCATATCTAAACCATAATGAAATTCTCAGATTTTCACCGACAAATGAAAAGCAATTCAATGGTGCAGTAAATCAGTCGTCAAGTGATCCTGATGATAGTGATGGTGCGTCTTATATAGCAAGTGGTAGTCGAAGAGTAATACGGGAAATTATCGTTTAAATAAAGCTTTCAATGATGATTAAATAAATGCAGCTAATGCGCTAATCGACTATCATTTGAATTGCTTTATCCAGGAAAGTTTGGAAAAAATGGAAAAAAATCCATTAAGTTTGATTAATATTGAGTTAGATGGGCGTCGAATTAATGTTTGATGTTTAATGATCTTCGATGAAAGAATGCATTAATTCCAGATTATCGCACATCGAATAATTAAATATCGAATAATTTATAGCACTGAATAGTTTTATCGAACGAATTTTTCAGTAATAAAGCAGTAATCGCAGTATTTAAAATAATTTAAATCTGAATTTGTTACGCAAAAAAAAGTATTAAAATTTCTCTCGTTTTCCATTTTTTTCTTCATAACAGCATTTCCGGTTTAGCTAATTCCTCTGATTGAAATCCTTTCATAAGTTATTTTATGGCTCAAACAGGTTACGACAAGTCCGATTTTTGCTCTTAATGACAAATCAAGAGGCTGGAATCAAATCCATTATTCTTGGCTTCAATTACATCAAAGTAATATCAAAATAGGATTCAACCATCTTGCCTCTTCTATTCGTATTTGCATTTTAAGTTTACTATAGTTTTTTTAGGTTACATTTTCATTGTGATTGTCGTTTGCTTCATATATTTTTTGCCTGTATATGAGTTATTTTATGGTTTAAACGGGTTACGAATAATTGCTTTTAATTTCTATGTCTTCTAACAAAGATTTCTTGTAATGTATTTTTTATTTTATGCAAAGAATTTCTGGAAAATTTCTGGTTTTTACAATCTTTTTAAGAGGTTTCGTAAATCAACTAATATTTGCGTTGGCTTTTTTTGGTAGTAATTCAATATTTAAAAGAAATTTGAGCAATAAATAATTTATTCTTTGCGCATTTTTTAGCAGAAAAAATTCCTTAGATAAAAATTTCAAGTTTTTTATTTTGTATTTGTTTATTGTATTTTGTTGTACTTTTTGTTAATTCTGATCGCTTTCAACGATAAAAAAATCAAGCAAAAATTTTTATGGCTGCAAAATTAAGACTAATCAATTGAACTAGCTAGAAGATAATTTATAAAAGTATAAAAAGTTTTTTATACTTCTTTTTCTTAGCTTTTGGGAGTACTTGATGAGCTTTTGAGAAGCAGGATTCCTTGGAAATCATTTTCTTCCTTTCATTTTCTATAGATTGCAGCATAAATCTCACTCATACTCATACATTTTTCTGTTAAGAATAAATACAGCCCATATGAAATGAATGCTACGGATTATTAATTTTTTCTTAATCCTAACCTCTTAGGTAATAGTAATTCGTCCGAAAGCTCGACAAAGTTAGATTAAACAGTTTATTCCAAGCAAACAAATAAAGAAAGATACAAAGTTTTCCAGAGAAAAAGAATCAATAATAAGAGAATATTGATGAATTTATTTAAAATTCAATGAGAGTAAAAGCAATAAAATTCGAGAAGGTACTTTATTTTCAGAATTTCGTTGCTAACAATCCACCTTAAATTTTTTGGCCGTTCTTCGAAAATTTTATTATATTTAAGAGTAAATTAGTTATGTGAAGAAAAAACTAACTCCAACAAAATCTCCGTTAATCTCCCTAAAAAAATTGAAAATTTTTAGATTTATAGCAGTAAATCCATTGAATTTTTCCGAAAATTTTTGAACAGATGCGAATGAACCAACTTTGCAAATTGTTCTATTTTTGCTATTTATCTTCGAGCGCGGAATTTGCCAGAATTTTTATTATTTTGTCTCTGAACATTGAATATTATTCTTCATATCATTCCAATACTTTTTTATCATCTTATGCCATCTTTGCTTCGAACAGCAGCCACTAAATACTAGGATTTCTTAGCTGAACAACACATATTGCCTTCGGTATCATTCGTTCTTTAAATGAAAATTATAGCTAAAGAAATAGAAAAAAGAAATAGCACGCCTAAGTAACAGCGATAAGATGAATCCCATAAATTATCATTCCTTGCATTTCACGATTCTAAATCGATATAAATGAATAAATGAGCCATTTTTTAATCGAAAAACATTTATTCCTTTTTTCCTTTGTATATATCATTAAATAAAGTAAATTAAGGTATGTAATGAGTGAGCGATCGCTTGTTTTGTCGTTTTGTCCAACTGCTAAAATATAGAAAATAATTATTTCTTTGGGCGTCTCATATTTTTTTCTTTTCTATTCTTAAATTTGATTTCTGATTTTTTTTAATTTTCTAATTTTTTAAATTTTTCTTCTACCTTATATTATATTATATAAACAATATTATAAAATAATATAGAATCATTCTATATTCATTCTTGCCTTCGACAGGAATAAACAGGTCATATCAAAAGTCCGGGTGGCTGCTGGAAACCCACTGTAACTCTGTTCACAAGTCCTATGGTGAAGGGGTCAGATATGTCTAACATGGCGTCCTTTGACTCGCATGATACTCCCAGACCGGTGGTACGTGCGATAAGAATACAATCTGGATGTAAAACGGTCCCAAGGTTTATACATAAAATAGGTTCGCAAACAGGACAGCTGCTCGAAACCTATCAAAAGGAACGGCTTTTTCGCGGCAAGTTGTTAACCGGCGTGGAAAATGCTTATGGACATAGCAAGCCAAGTTATCGTTTATCGGAGGTCCGTCTTCTTCATTTCGGGTCTCAATTAATTGCTAATCTTGGCTTGAAGAAGAGGTAGTAGCTATATCACTATGACGGATAACTCGGGAACGAAATGACATAGCGATTGCCTAAAAGGCCCAAGTAAATATGGCTCATGCCCGCTTTAAATTCTGCAATATCTCGTTCATCAGTATTTATATTCCGACTTTGTCGACCATGATAAAGATAAGTTCTGTGCTTTAAATGGACAAAGTCTCTACCAAAACATGACATGGTCATAATCAAAGGAGACTGGAATGTTCGTGCTGCGATGATCTGGACAATTGGTAAATATGGCATCGGGAACCTGTGTGCCAGTGGGAACTTTTCCCACTATGCCAAAGAGCATGGAATTTATGAATACTTGCTTCCGGCATCGTAGAAAATATCAACCACGTGGAACTGCCGTGGATAACCAATACTTCAACCAGGTTGATTACATCTTAATCAGTCGCCGTTGGAAGAATTCCATACTAGAGAATCGTTCCTATTGAGGCGCTGGAACAGCGATCTTGATGGATTTGACAATGTTATGGTCCGAGTCAAGGCCGCATAAAATCGCAAAAAATATTCAAAATCGTTTAACTTTCTCATACTAAAAGATCAGAGGACTGGGAGCGCATATCAGACCGAATTTTTAAGGCATCTCTATGGTATAAATATCAATGGCTATTCTGAAACGGATCAGATCCGAAATAGATGAATATTGGTCCCAAATAAAGGAATATCTCTGGAAGTCAGCCACCTTAGGATGTGATGTGCTATAGAAAATGTACTAATTGGGTATAAGAAGCAATTGTCCAACTGCCTGTCAAAGTACGAATGTCAGGGATCTTGACCACCGGATGCTTCGAAAAATTGCAATGGCAGCAACACGGCGAGATATAAATCGCTATCGGAGGGACACGGCTTGACGGAGGCTCGATTAGGCAACGATAGGAAACTATTCGGTTATCTTCATAGAATAACTCGGGGAACGATCAGTGAAATAGTAAGGGACAGTGGTGTGCCTGTTAAGATATTAAGTATTAAGGATTGCCTTATAAGATGGAAGGAATTCTTTGAGGTCAAACTTCACCTTGGTACGCCATCTGTTGGCCTGTTAAGGCCAATAAGACTCCGGAAGATGGTGATGGTCTCCGGGCTGAATTCTTCAAATATTGTCCATCGTCCATCAAAAAGTACCTTCAACAAATTTACTCTACGGTATGGAAAAAAGAAATAGTACCACGTGACTGGAGAAAAATAATTCTGCTTCTAACTCCCAAGAAAGGACGTACTGCAACAGTTGTCGAGTAATTAATCTATTAGATATCTCCGGAAAAATTTTCACTTCCCTTCTGCTAAATAAACTCATAGCAACGTAAGATAGCAAAATGTGTCCTTACCAAGGATTCAGACTGGGATGCGGTTGACCAGATATTTATGTTAAGAGGAATGCTGGATCATCGTTTCAAAATAGCAGGAGCCCAACTGCTTTATCGATTTTGCAGCTGAAACATGGCCAATAAGAATAAGTTATTAAGAAGCTATCAACCCTTTTAACCACACATGTCTAAGATACATTTTACGGGTCCGTCGAGCGGTTAAAATCGCACATGATTACCCAACTTCGCTCAAACACCACTTGTAATAACGTTATCAAAGATCACAGATCGTCGCTTTCGCTTATACATTCTCCTTCGTCCACCACAGGAGTTGACGCATATTTCGTTATTTGCTAAACCGTGTGACGGTTGGCGTCAAAAGCGAGGTGGGCCAATCAAGACTTGGACTGATACGGTCAGGAAAGATTTTGAACATATAGGTGGACCAACGACATATGAACTTGGACAATGGAAAAGGGAATGGCTTCTACCATTGTCGATGATCTCATCAAATCAGATCTTGGAAACGTCTTACCCTTATAGCCAATGGAATTAGCCAATAATGGTGAGAACTATTAGAAGAAATAATTTAAGAAAATTGTATAGAATCTATACAATTTAGAAAATTGTTTGCTATTTCGCTTATAACTCCATCTGATATAAGTCAGTGCCAATTGCGAAACGATAAGAATAAAGCTACTTAAATCCAGATTTTCCCATCCAGAACATCCACATATATTCGTTCCAGGATTTTTTCGGTGAGAGCATTAATTTGCTCCTAATTATTATTTATTAAATTATTCTTTAAAATAGTCTAAAGTATTGATTTTTTGTCGTTTTTCAAGAAAATTCTTCAGATTCTATTTTTACTATGTTTTAATCAACATCTTGTAATTTTATTATGTTACCTAAGTGGTTAGCTCATTGTTTCTGGCTAATCGCAGTAGGTCTTTCATTAAGATTAGAAATTTTTGCTGCGGAGTCACATAGCGGCAAATGCCCATTTGAGTCACAACTATCTGGATTTTTTTTGAATGGCAGATTTGCTTTATGTCAAAAGCAGGAGCTGAGACCTTTACTACCAATACAATAATCTTCCATTCGGCTATTCTACTCATTTTAAAATACTATTGTTCATTTTATTGCAAGAAAAAAAAGAAAAATTGAATATATCGATTTTCATCCATTATAAATTCGAATTTTTGGTAAAATTCGAATGAACAAATTTTTTAAAAAGTGAAATATTTTAATTAAATGAGCTTTTAATATAAATATAAAATAAATTTTGTTCACTAAGAAAAAAACATCGAATTTTATTCAATTTTTTTTCACAAATGAATATTTATTTTTCATTTTTTGCTCATTTCATCAAATTAGTTTATTATTTTATAATTTTATTAATTTTTATATTAAAAGAAAACTTTTTTCTTTTTCTTATTTGATTTTTTATTTTATTATTCTTTATTTCATTCTTTAAGGTGATTATTCACTTAAAATTAATTAATTATTTTCGTCGATTGTTATTTATTATATTTTAATTATTTACTTATTTTTACTTATTTATTTATTTACTTTACTTATTTTTGCTTATTTTTATTGATTATTTATCAATTTTAATTATATTTCTTATATTTCTTATAATTGTAATCGTCGAAAAACTACTCGGTATTTCCCAAAATCTAATAGGTTTTCTTAATGCTATTGTTGTTCTAAAGAAATTTTATAAGTTTAATTCTTAATGTTATTACTGAAACTTTATAAGTTCATAGATTTTTCAATGTGATAAAGGAATTAAAATGATCTAATAAATGGCAAGCTGATTAAGTGGTGTGTTGCTTTGATTAAAATCAAGCAACTGGTCTCTTGAAGATAATGTCGGAAATAACCGAAATAACCGAAAATAAAAAAAATAATTGTAATGCGGTAAGAATTCATCAAACATTTAAAAAATTCATAAAAAAAAAGGAAAACAACATTTCTTTAACAAAGCTTGTTCACATTATAAGCATTCAATTATTGTCAATTATAAATCTTACTGCCGATCGTTTTTCATCTCGCACTAACTATGAATTTATTTCAATATTTATCATTTACATTTAACTTTATCCAGAAATTTATTTTTACCCTTTGTTTGTTGCGTCATAGGAAAATGAACATTACAGATCAAATTAAGGCATTTTTTTCTTGATTTTTGTCAATTCATATCTAATTATGTTGCATTAAGTGCTAAGTTTTAATCACTGTAACAAAAATAAGAATTTAATTATTCTTTTTTCCGTTATATTATAGTAATCATCGTTCGACGTGTACCTCAAAATTGGGTAATTAAACCTTTATTTATATAACAATATAACAACGATAAAAGTAATTAACGATATATTGTACTACAATTTTACCAAATAAAAAACAATTTACAACACAAATTGCAAAACAAAACCATAAAATCATTAAATCACCCACACACCTCCACTTATCTACGACTACCATTTGAACAATAAATTACGTCCCAAAAAGGGAGAAGAATCGATGCAAAATTACGGCCGCAGCCAAGCTTTTGTTGGTCCCCAATCGATTCTGCTTATTTTTGAGTACAATCATCGAAATATATTGAACATATCACCATTAATTAAATTTTATTTAAACTAAATTTAAAATTATGACCGTAATATTACGCAATAAATTATGATGAGCCATTTTTATTCGAACTAAATTCAATTAACACATGGGTCAGAAAGCAGATCAACGAACTATTCGCAAACTCTATTGAAAATCATTTAATATCATTTAATTGGAGATATTATAGTGCTTATAGTTGCTATATTTTTCCCAACAATTTAAAATCGAGAAAAGCAGACTTTAAAAATTTATTTATGGATGCCCTAATTTGCATAAAATTAACAATTTCGCAATTTTTAGCATGGGAGTCATTTCGATAAAAAATTGGAAAAAATAATTTGTTAACAATTTGCAATTATAAACAATCTTCAAAGATTTATTAGATTTGTAAAAATTCAATAGATGTTTAAATAAAGTTACATAAAGTTTTAAAGTTATATAAACTGGAAACAAAAATCAAACACCATGCCTTCGACCGATTTTTTCTGTAAGCTTTTTTAAAAAAATCAAAATTTCGAAATTTTCGAATTTCTGAATTAAGTATAAAGATTTTTTTCGTCCAAAAACTGTCCGCACTTTTTTTCTCTCAAAAAATCGAGAAAAGCAGACTTTATTTTAAATGGTTAGGCCCACTACATCGGTTATTTGTATGAGTGGCTAGACAATTTACATGGGAAAACTTTTGCTGTAGTCATTTGGAGGCAGATGCATAGATGCATGGATTCATAGCGCCATCAGTACTTTTTGATGATAATTACTCTTATCTCTTAAGGCAGAAACTCCATAGTAATTGAAAGGATAATCTAGGCAATATGACCATCGCTCTCCCCGATCTTTATAAACATCATTAGCGCAATTATTTTAATTTTATTGACTGAAATCCAAATTGCAGAGTTATAGACATTTATAAATGAAATTTGAAGCAATTTGGATGTTCCTTAAATCTTATATAAAAATCAATTGAAATATATCTTCTGGATTAGTATTATCTGATTCCTTACTCTTTTTTCTTCTCACTCGCTTTCCGTTTTAATCAATCAGGTGATAGCGATTTGTATTGATCTTGCCACTGAAGCTTATTTGTAGCAAAAAATCTATCTAATAAAAAAATCTATCTATTTTACACGCGCGAATGAACTGAGCGATGTTGTAATCTTCTGATTATAAAAAATTTTTTAAAAATATTTTAACGGACTAACTGGATTTAAGATTTAGTCATAAAGCTTACTGTATATATACAATTTCCATGTTTCCATGCTTCAACGCTTTTAATGAATTCCTTTCTTTATTGCGTATAATTCATATGGTTCAAAGTAAAATATGGAATTGAATTCATGTTTAATTATTTAATGATTTAATTAATCAACTGATAAACTGTTTAAAAAAAGAACGATTTGCTGCACTAATCATTTTTGGTCGAATGAAAAAAATTAAAAGCAAGTTAATATTTAATTTGATATTATTTTTCCTTTAACAACTAATAAATTTCTGGTTTATCTAACTTTACTCCCTAACTTTACTGCCAGAAAACAAAGCTTTCAAGCCTTTCAATCCCATGCCATACCTGAAATTAACTGCAATCATTTCTTTTTTCCTTATAAATCGCTGGGCTATTTATGTCTTTAAAACTTTTTAAACAATATTGTAATATTAATATTAATTCTAAATTTCTAAAATATTTATTTTATTATTAATACTATTATTTAATATTGAAACGCTATTTAATATTAAAAATGTAATCCTTTGCAATTCGCAAAACTTGTCATTCATTGCTGCTATCAGTAAAAGAAATTTCATTTAATAATAATTCACTTAACAATTTTGTCTTAATTATTATTTTACACTTCAGAAATTTTGTTTTAGTCGAAGAAAAAAACCATCAGTTCACTCGTATAATTTTATCTTAATTTTTTTTTCTTTTTTCCATCTTTAAAATTCATTTTTTTTTCACTCTATGAAAAATTCATTTTATATCTTTTGAGGATAGTTAAATGTATAATGGCTCAGACTCGTAACTCGTAGAATTCTTATAAAATTCGGTTCCTACTTTTCTAGTCATTGAAAAGTCTAATGCTATGATGCCAGCGAACCACCTGCCCATCTATCGCATAACGCCCTAACAAAAAGTTTTAATCCTAAGGGACCGTTGAACCCAATAATGGTGAACACTCATTATTTTTCTTGCTTTAACATCTTTTGAAATGTCAGACAACATTCACTGTTCACCGTTTTTTACAAAAACGAATACAATATTTGTTGTGGACTAATCCGTTTCTTGTCGCTTTAATGTCTAATTTTTAAGTGATTCGCTATTCAAAAAAATGGTTTAAATGGCGATTTTCAGGACTAAATTCGCCATAACTGTCAAAAATTTAAGATAAATAGTAAATTATAAATTCGACGCATCGTACAATTAACATTAGCCTTAGTTTTTCGTTTAACTTTTGAAAAAAAGTTGGGCATATTATAATATTTTGCTCTCTTTCTTTTTGACAGCACTCACAATTTCTTATTTGGTTTGATTCCATTGATTGTGTGAGGATCCTATATTAGGACTTCATCGGCGGAGAATTACTAAGAATTAGAAATTCAGTTGGATCCCCAGTGTCATATGGATTTCACTTTAATGGGAGCTGTACTCCAGTCGATGAACAGAAACCTATAATACCTTAATAACATTATTAGATGAAGCAACATGGCGCTAGACTATCCTATGTTCATGAGAAAATTTTCTAAAAAAATCATCGTATTTTCTCTTTGAAATTCCAATTTTCATTTGTAATTCCATCAATTGTTCGTGTCCTTTTCGTTTTTGTTCGTTATTTTTGAAATTTTGAATTCAAATAAAATTCATCATGAATTTATTATGAAAATTTGTAGGCTAAATTCGTAAATATTTTAAGAAAAACTAGTTTTTGAAATGAAATCTGCGTTTTGAAAAACTTGTTTATTGCAATCTCTCAATTTTCCTCATTTTAATTTGCTAAAAAAAACAAAGTTCTATTTTTTTTCATTTTTGTATAATGTATATATAATTTATATATAATTTATCCTTTTTATTTCTGTTTTAAAAATTAACATCTTATTTTTTAAAAAAATTAAATTTTTTTTGTTGAATTCATCGGCTTCCTCAATAACATGACATAGCGAATATTCCTTTCACAATTTCTATGAATGATATATATATATATATATTCCGTTATTTTTTTTGTTTTATCGTCACACTTCTGCGATAATTTGTTAGCCAGAAGAGAATTTGGTTTATTGTTTCATTTAAAAATTTAATTATTCAGAGAATATCGCCGAAAGCATTCTTTTAATTGCAGGCTGATTTCTGAAATTAAATAATCAATCATTTTTTCCTACTACGTGATATATGGAGTCACAGTAGTTGAGTGGTTGTTAGATAGAATCGATCATCTTGGCTCGATTCACAATAGAAGCAAATTTGCCATTAGAAAATCCGGCTGGCTTAAAAAATAGTCCATATGTCGCTATTTTATTATGCGACATAGCAAATCATAGTAAGTGATTAGCACTATCGCATGAAATTTTGCCAAAGAAAAACCTTGAGAATTGAATATGGATCTCCAGCATTAACCGGATTTACTTTTAATGGCAAGTTTTTTCCGGCCAAATTACAGAGAGAAGAATCTGTAAACTGTTGATAAATTGAAACTGTGATTCCAGTTCAACAGGTATGGCTAAATAATTTTATCAGAAATATCTAAGTTTTTATGGCACAAAATTTTTTATTTTATTAATTTAATTTTTTCTAAACATTTTAATTGAATTTTTGCCTTAATTTTCATAAATGAATGCTGGTACGGTTTTTCAAAGTCTTATTGAAATCTTTACAAAAAATTTTTGCCACCTCAAAATGAAGTGCAGGTGGATCTTTAGTGCTTTTTTTAATGGCAAATTTACTTTACTTTTTCCAAGTCAAAAGCACGCTTGCCTGTCAATGATTTTAACTATTATTTTCGTAAAAGCAACAATGAGTTACGCAAAATTCAAAATTTTTGCGATGTTATAATTTTAAAAGCTTCATTACAATTGAATAACAATTTTTAATTTTTCAAAATTATTTTTCTAAAGCAAACGATAAGTGCTATTGCTTTAAATGAGGGGAAAATAAAATATTTTCTCAAGTTTAATATAGTAGTGAAAAATTAATTGCAATTTACTGCCGAAAAATTGATGGTTAAACAGTTGTTCAAATGATATATAAAAGACGTCGAAAAATTTTTTGAATTAATGATACGCGCTTATTTAAAACTGAAACTTTACTATCGGAACTGATAAATGTTTCGCTAGAGACTCAGTTGAGCCAGAAAATGCAGGTGGATTGTCAACATCAGCTCAGTTCAACAAGGTTTACTCACGCCGAGAAAATCGTACCCAATTGCGATTTCTTCTTACTTACATTTTTATTTCAAACTTCCTTTAAGTCTATTTTTTGAAGTTTTATGTATCGTATCGTACCATCTCTATTAATTATTTTTCATTACGTAATTATTAGTAGAATAAATTTTGAGATATATCAAAACTTCAATAAACCAATTTTTTGAATCGTTTACTAATAGCGAACTATTTGATAACTTTAATATATTAATTTTTCATGTTTAGGAAGGAAATTGAAGATGATGGAAGTAACCAAAAATAAGTATAAAATTCCCGAAGGATTAAGGCCACTTTTAGAATCACTTGCAAGAGAAATATTACGTACTCAACCAAGCGATTTAATCGACTTTTCACAGTTATATTTTAGTGAACTTCAAGATCATCGTTGTAGTAAGTGAAATTTTTTCCTTTCTCCCTCTTCTCAAAATTTCGTAAAAAAATCGAATTATGATTAGAAAATGATAATGGAGAAATTGTAAAACAGCTATGAAAATAGCTTATAATTAATATTTCAAACGAATCTAATTGATTTTATGCAAAGCCTTGTTCCTATTTATGGCAAAACACAATCTCTTAGTGTTAGAAATATCGAATTGAAAATTAAAATATTGGTAGCAATTCTGCTAATGGATTCCCGACTTTAGATAATGTCGTGATTAATGCTACTAATATATTTTCCTATACTTTTATAATTCTTTTTGAAATTTTAGATGACGGACGAACGGACTGCTATAAAAATAACAAACATTGATAACTGCAATAGTTCTAATAAATAGACAAACGAATGGATCAAATAATTTCCGATATTTTTTCCAAATAAACTTTAAGATTTCATTTAATAAGAATTTAGGCATTAGTGTGATTTTTTGAAAAATAAATAAGGGAAAAATCGAACAAAGATAAGAAAATTTCTTCCAAAAAGCCCTTTTTCCTTGACACTCACATTAGATAGACTTTAGATAGACTTGGATACTATTCTTTCCTGATATGATGATGGAAGTTCAAGTAAGTCATAAGCAGTGCTGAGATTTTTTTTCTAAGAGCGCTCACTGGTTAGCTGGCATGTTGGACCAGACAAATTTTGCGATCGGAGGCGACACTGCCATCCGATGAAGCCTGATGCGTCTGCCAGATTGGAACGCGAGCCATTCTCAGTCTAAGTGAAGTGACACACCACTCTCAGAGATATGAAAAGTGGAAAATATTCCGATCGAAAAAAAAAAATAGAAATAATAGAAATATCTGTTAATAGAAATATTATCATAAATAAAAAAATCCATATTTTTTTCACTATCCTTCACTATCCTTAATCATTTATTCAGGCAATAATCATGCTGATATTATTAATGATCCAACTTTATATGAAAGATTCCGAAATTCTCTTCACGCGAAGGTTTTAAATTTAATTTCCTTTCACTTGTAATTTTAATTCTTTTATTATATGAAGCTAATTTTATCACAATTGTTAAGATTAAGAATATTTATTGATGACAATCTTACCTTGTTTTAGTATCGAGAATCTTTGTTTACGAATAAAAATGATCGATTACAAGATCCAATGAATATGGCAGCAACAAAAATCCAAGCCGCCTTCAGAGGACATGTGGTAATGTCTTCAATCCTTAGTCGTCTAATCAGTTATTACAAAATGATCGAGTATATACGAGTCAAAACTCAACATTTCTGATTTTTGTTGGGTCAACTATTATGAAAAGAAAACCTTAAAGAGAACAGGTGATATAAAGGGAAGTATCATTTGGATTTTTAACAGATTTGTTCGCTAAATGTATGATACTTGACATTAGTCGAAACAATATTTCGCTCGACTATTCTCCCTCTTTCTTAGAGAAGAGAAGGTTTACATAAGCATACACTGACTAGAAGATGGAAACTGAATACGATTTTCGTTATTCTCTTTAATATAACGGAAATTACAATAAATTACTCCTCAATAAGAAAAAAAACGGATGAATTAACTTTTATATTTTTTTGCTACATATCATTAGAATTTTTCATTGATTATATACGAGCATAAGGTAAGCAAGTGGTTGATGCACTGACGTTCAGGATTTTCTAATTGCGCTGTTTGTGTGTGCGGTTATTTTTATCATGGAGTTATTTGGTAATTGAAGCACAGATGGATCACCAGTACCACTCAGACCCTCCCTGTATGGGGCAGAAGGCGAAGTTTTGCCTCTCAGCATAATAATCTAAATCGTCATCCATTCGACTATTCCACTTTCTTTTCCCACGAACATGTGAGAGTAAAAAATAACAGCTTCTTCTTATAGCTCTCACCATTACCAGTTAGGTTAACTCACTGCTTAGAAGGGTAAGTACGCTTCCAAGCTGTGCGATCATCATCGTCGAGGTTTTTTTTTTTTAAAGATCCATCACCATCACTGGTTAAACTCACTCCACTGGCTTATTTAGCTTATCGCATTAAGCAATATCCCATGGAGTCCCTTGGCGATAGAAATATAGGTGAGTCGCCAGTATCACTCGGATTTTTGTACAAGTTTACTATTATATCAGTCCAGGCCTTGATTTGTCCACTTCATTTTTAACCATCAATGAATTTCGCAGGTAATTTCGCAGGAATATGTATCAATTCTTATAGGGGGAGAATGCCCTAACCAGTGAAGATGATGCTCTATGATGGTACTATTAAAGCAATTGGTATTTGAAAGAAGGTTGATGCAATCATGTGAATTTTATCCACTCGGCGAAATGAGATTTTATTCCACAAAATGCATCTTAGACATGAGTGGTCAAAGGCAAATGACTCCTTAATAATCTCCATTCACAATATAGCAAGATCGAGCAAATCGCGTATAGACGCGAAATTTCTTTTTTTATGGTGATTTCAAGACTTTCTACATAAAGTTCCATCAACTGGAAGAACGCATTTATCACTTCACTTCCTCAGCTGGCAATAATGAATTAATAAAAATAGATATTTTATCAACTTCTTGTAAGACGAAAAAACTTTCGGTTCATTTACATTAATCCTGAGTGCGATTGTCGCTTCAGTTATTGATTGTCTAACATTATTAGCATTTCGTGATACCTGTCAACAAAAAGGACTACATCATCAGCGTATTCGAGATCTGTGATAGATGCTCTGGATTGATCTGTAAACCTCTTTTGAGTTCCGACAAGTCATGTCCATTATCCGTCTATCGCATAGTTCAGTAATGTAGAAGAAAGTATGGAGATTTGAGGCACATCACTTCTTATTTCGAAGGAGAAGTGTCAGTTCTCATATATAAAGGCTTAATGTATGCTGATGTCTAAAATGCCTTTATAAGTCGAATTTTCGCTGGAACACCGTTGCGTTCCATCATTCTCCAAAGCGCCGTTCTATCAATTGAATAGAAAACAGATGCAAAGTCGAAGGAATACGTAACAATGGGTTGCAAATAGCTGAAGCGATGTTCCAACACCTTCTTTACGTGAATATCTGCTCAGCACAACCGCTTTCTGGTCTAAATCCAGCTTAATTAGGGCGCACCCTGCTATCTTGTGCTACCATAAGTCTTTTGAATTAAAAGGAAGCAAAAATTTTCGTCTAGTAAGCTGATTCCTCGACAATTGTCGCAGTATGTCCTATCACCTTTCTTGAGAATTGAGAGCAGAAATGCTTTGCTCCAATCATCTGGTATTATTTTTTTCTTCCATACCAAAGAATATATTTGTTGAAGGTGAAGAAGGATAACATTTAATGGAGCCCGGAAACCATCTCCTGGAATCTTGTTGGTCTTAAGCTTATGGATTACAGAGTTTATTTCTTCTTCTGTTGGCGGCTCGCAATTGCAAGAGTATGGTTCGGCGAATCGGTTATATCCAGAGCAATAGATGGCGCATCATGGTTAAGCTTGGCCTCCTTCCATCTTATGAGGCGATTCTTAACAGGCTATTGCTGTCCATTACCATTTCACTAGTCGTTCCCCAAGTTATATTTGCTTTATAAAGAAGCGGAATAGTTTCCTAATAGTTTCCTATTCCTATTATCACCTAATAGAGCAGTCTTCTTCATTCTTAAGGCCATATCACTCCAATAGTAATTTCCGTCCCTCCTTGCTGCAATTGTTATAATTCTTCCGATAGTCAGGATCTCCTATTCATGCTTTGGTAGCGTTTTCAGGCAATTGGACAATTACTTCTAATACCCAACTAGTACATTTTCTATAAGCACATCACATCCTAAGGTGGAAATGGCTGACTTTCAGAAATATTCCTTTATTTGGGACCAATATTCATCTATTTCGGATCTGATCCATTCCAGAATAATCATTGATATTTATACCATTGAGATACTTTAATAATTCGGTCTGATATGCGCTCCCAGTCCTCAGATCTTTTAGTATGAGATAGTTAAACGATCTTGAAGGGAAAATCGCTATTTTTTGTGAGTTGTCAATTTTATGCGGACCTTGGCTCGGACCATAACATGGTCAAATCCATGAATATTGCGCCGCGATAGAAGCAGCTAGCTAGTACGGAACTCTTCCAACGACGACTGATTATGATACAATCAATCTAGTTGGGGTATTGGCTTCCGAGGAGTTCCATGTGACTAAATGTTTTCGACAATGTCAGAAGCATGTATTAATAAGAAAAATTTTATGCTTTTCAGCAAAGCAAAGGCATTCCCCATTGGCGCACCAGACTGCGATGCCACATTTACCAATTGTCGAGTTCATTGTAGCGGCATCGTGACCGCGCATTCTTGCCTTTCCCGATTGTGATCTAGTCACTTTTCGATAGAGATTTTGTCAGCAGTTTTCTGTATAGATGCTACTATTTCTTATACTATTACGGTCTATAGGAAAAGATCAAAAAATTGTAGTAATTGTGGTAAGATTTAGAAAAGGATATTATTTTTCAAAGCATAAAAATTCTCACAAAACGATTAAGAATAATATAAATCAATTAAATCGTGAAGTTTGAGTTTGACTTGAAATAGGAAATATAGAAATAGGAAATATAGAATAACAATAATATAGAGCCACAGTCGCTCCAGAGCGTTTTTTAAAGACCCAAATAGGACCAAATTGTTTCTATACCTTTCTTTTTCTAGGACTTCAAACAGCCGCGACCGTCTCAAATGATCGTCGTATCCCTAAATTGATCTTCTTTCGAAACATGATCTTTTTGTCATAAGAATCGTGTAACGAAAATATTTTGATATGAAGCTTCTTTATTGCAACTATAATTTGAATACGAAGCTTCTTTATTGAACAGAAATTTTTTTTTTTTCAACAAATTTACTCTTTAATTTCGGTTTTTTCAATGCTCCCGACCTGAGGCGACCCGATCCTAACGACAGAAGTTTCTAAGGAGTATAATTTATCTCCTATGAATTCTCCCTTTCAAAGCGTCTGAGTGAAAATTTTCCTTTCATTTTTTTGTTGGATACGGGAGTTTACGGGGGTTGCTATGGGAATCGCTAGTACTCCTCCTGCTTTCTTCTTGAAGATCGACAAATAATCATACCTGTGGCTGCATTTTATTGGATTGAAAATAGTGCTATTAGCGCGGCAGAAATAACTAATCTCCAATACTTGGCAATCTTACTTATTACTTAACTCATCTTATAACATTTCTGGATTCTCTGAGGCCATTTTCTTCATGTTTTATCAGTTCTTGTTCCTGTTATATTACTTCTTCCCAGGATATGATTTTCTTTTTATTGCTGGTTGGATTAATCGGTATTGCCAGCTATTAATTCCAATTCTTTTTCAGTCGTTTTCCTTTCATATTTTTTTATAAATCCTCTTCTAATCCTAAATTATTGGAGAAAATTGTACTTGCAAGATGCACTTAACAATTATTTGCCAACTATTTTGCAGAATAAGCCAGTTTAGAGGCATCAGTGAATATAATGATTTTGTTGAACGCATTGTTGCAAGAGATATTTCAATAAATTCTTAAAATCATTCTGAATGAGGTCTTAATATCCTCTTTCTCCAAGGGTTTATCCTAATTATAATTCTTCCATAAGAATTGAAGAAATTGAAGAATTTGAATCTAACCATCGTCGGAGTTAGATATCCTAGTGGGATCATATTGAGATGCCACATATTTTGGATATTCCGTTTAGTCAGGTTTCGTTAATAGTCTTATTGTATTTTTCATATGATTGTAGACGATCTCCAGAACTTTACTTTGCATACCTTGCTCGGAATCGCTTTATTGAATCCATCATTTCTTTAATGTTCATAAAAGTTTTGTTAAAAATGCATTTCATTTCTTTAGTATTTTCTTAGCACATCATATGTAGCTTTAATTGATAGTATAATATTGTGTACATAGAGATTCTTTCGAATTTCTAGAGATGTTTGATTTCCAAATGATAACTGAGTACTGCTGATAGCAAAAAGGGTAACGAGGCTATTTCAAATGGAACTTTTTTGAAATGGTAATATTTGATATTTTCATCCGTTTTGAATGTCTAGCCATAGAAATCTCGTACAATTTTCATCTGGTGATCGCAACTCTAATTGTAAAAATGTCCTTTTCCACATCTGCAATTATATTCTCGTCATGTGGAATCCCAACCAAGGTAACTCTGGTACTGGTGTGTAATGACTTTTTTATATGACACATCATCGATTTTTTTCATTACCCAGATGTACTGATGCATCCTGTACAGTTCGTTGATTTATTACCTCATGATGAGATAAATAGTATGATTCCTTCTCGTACCATTTCTAGCCGTACTTCTTCAATTATCCCTTCACTGAATTGCTTTTAAATTATTTCGTCATACATTTGAAGTCATAAATTTTATATATGTGGGATTTCTTTGGAATCGTCTAATTAGCATTTTGAAACGACAGAGGCAAAGCCCAGAATTACAATCTATTCTTTGGTTCTTTCCATGGCCAACTAAATTGATATCTTCCATCATATTAAATTATTTTCTTGAATTACTCCAAGGCTTGATCTTCTTATTCTAAGTGAAGTTGATATTGAGTGCCTATCAGTTCTAGCTTCCAAAATTGATCGACATCATGACTTATTGAGCCGTACGTACACACGCTCCCATACAATGCTTGATTCGACTCGTGCAATTTATGAACGCAATCCTCTTCTGTTATTATGGGACCGAGATTTGTTTGAATTAAAAAAAAATCCTGACTTTAGTTGAATTTTATAAATTCAAAGAAATAATCAACTCCAATAAGGAGATCAGGCTACCACTAACTCTCCACCAATATGCACAATATCTTGCCTACCTACGTCGACAACCCTTATTTTAATCCATCTGGTCAAATAATCCATTGTTAATTTTGTAAATAATGTCATTCCCGTTCTTGGATTTTATTCCAATTTGCACCTTCTTTGAACAATATTCCTTCGGAAATATCCTTATTGCCAAAGAACGATATTCGCAATTCTCGACCACTTTTTTTTCCCTTCAATCGATTCGTCAATTTCTCTCTGACATAAATTGTAATCAAAAAGTGCTGCAGTCTCTGTTTAAGCCTGAGGCATTCTTGGATTTATAATAGTGGCCCTTTCACACATAAAAATCTTTGTATTGTTCAATTTCACAGTTAGTTAACGTATTATTCACTAGTGTTAAACTCTTTTTCTTTCCTTTCTTTAGATTGGTCAATTTGAGTATTATCTTCAATTTTCTTTTCTTTTCTATGAAATATATCACACAACGTCACGTCTCGACACATCGCAATTCCGAGCTACGTGACTTTCCTTCAAGCAATTTGAACAAGCATTTGGTTCTTTAAACGCTCCAAGTAGAATACAATTTACATTCATCATTCCAATGAATCTTGCAGAAGCATAAGCTTTTATGAAATCCTTTTTGCCTTATTTAATTCGTTGCGGCATTACATTGCCATATTTCAAAACAAAACACGTTGATTAACGGCAAACGGTGCCGATGAACCGCAATTTCTCACTATGCGATTCCTTCGAAATTGCGATGTTGTCCTTTCGTTTGATTTAGTACCTTTGAATGCATAAGTTCGCAATGTATCATCGTTACATGTAACTAACTTACCAAGATATTGCCTTAGTTTTTTTACAAACCAGGATTTATCATCTTCCTTTTGTTGACAAATCCCATTTAGAACCCACATAGGCAATTTTTCCTCGGTGATTTTTATACTTGAATGCTCAAGGTTTTCTCCCATGGCCTCGAGTTGTAAAGACTCCATTGACTCTGTCGTCGAACTTCTTATCTTTTCGTTCAATTATCTGGAATTCAGTGTAAGGCGGTTTCTTTATAATTGAAGGATTGCCAAATCGATTTAGTAATGTATCTTGAGTAGTCTCATAATTTTCTGGTGCAACTTCACATCCTTGAATTGCTTTTAATGTTTCTCCTTTTAAACAGGATATTAAGTTTTATATTTCTGGTAGCTTTTGATTATGAACGGCTGCTGCGAATCCGCTCCAAAATTGTCTCCACGATCTAGGATCTCCGTGCAATTCTGGCAAAACTAATCGAGGCAAACGAATCTTCTTGCAGCTCTTGTTTCCTTATCGCCAATTCGCCTGACAATTTTTTTCTCTATTCTTCTGTTGAGACTGTGGAAGCTTTTATAGAAATTCCCAACCATTTATTATTGGTACTTTCGAGTGTCCATATATGATTCTCGATTCTTATTTTTTCTTCATGCCTTTACCTCTTATTGATCGCACAATTATTCCTTAGGGATTTGTTCGTTGAACGGAATCAAGTTCCTTTACTCTTCAAGAACTTTAATGATCTTTCCTTTCGCCGGATTAGCACTTTATTATATTTATTGATACATGCTATGTTATCGGCTCATGACACCAAAAAATATATAGGAAAAGATCAAAAAATTATAGCAAAAGATTTTATTTTTCAAAGCGAAAATCCTTACAAAAAAATAGAAACATTATAAGCGGGATAAATCAACTCAGCTCAGTCATGAACTTCCGTCTATCTTATTTGGATTGAAATAGGAAATATAGTAGAATAATCAAAATACAGAGCCATAGCGGCCCCAAATCGTTTTTCGAAGACCCAAATAGGGCCAAACCGTTCTTATAGCTTATAACCGTTCTTATAGTTTTTTTCTAGGACCTCAAATAGACTGCGACCATCTCAAATGATTGTCGTATCCCCACACTGATACTCTTTCAGAATATGATCGTTTGATCATGGGAATAATCGTGTAAGCAAAAATCTTTTGATATGTAGCTTCTTTGTTACTGTTCTAGATATGAAGCTTTTTTGTTGTGGCGACCATAATTTGAACAACACGAAGCTTCTTTGTTAAATTTTTTTTTTAAAACAAATTTATTCTTCAATTTCGGTTTTTCTGATACGATCATCTGCAGATAAAGTTGGAGCATATGCACTAAGATATTGTAGAAATTACTTTTAAAGAGAGCATAAGCCACACTGTCCACTTTTTTCTAAATATCATTGTCTGCTTCTGTTCTTTACTGCTTTTCTTTGAGAGTGCGGCAAAACATTTGCGATCTGAAAGTCCTCACCAGTTTCCATTGAAACAAAGCGGAGCGAGTCTTTTCAGGCATGAAAATCACCGTTTCACCGCGAGTTATCCGTTAAAATGATATAGTACCTCTACTTAGAGCCAGATTTATTTATGAAGCTTAAGATCATTTTATATAATTTGTATTTGCACGAGACTCGAAGTACGCAAGACAGACCTCTGGCAATACCTACACGACATTTAGAATAAGTGGGGACAGTGATCGCTTGCAATAAGCGTCCATAAGCATTTTGACATTCCACGTTGATACGGCTAGCACATCGCCACGCGTGCAAAGAGCCGTTTCCTTTGACAAGTTTCGAGCAATTGTTTTGGGTTACGACCATATTTTATTTATGAAGCTTAGGATCATTTTATATATTTTGCATGCTTGCTCGGATTGTATATACTTATCGCCGAGGACGCCATGTTAAGGACGTCTGACCCTTTTACCGTAGGGTCTTACTTGTGGACAGAATTAAAGGTGGGTAATCAGCAGCCACCCGGATTTTTGATATGGCAGGTTTACTCCCGTCGAAAAATAATAGTACAATAATATGCAAATATTTTTTTTAATATAATTTTTCTTCAAAAAAAAAAATTTTCTTCTACGATTGGTAGAATAATATTTCGTTTCAGGTGCGAAAAAATCCCGAAGCATTTGCAGTTGATCATTCGCTACCAAAAAGTCGTTCAAATGAAAATATTACTTATTCCGATAATAAATTAAAGTAATTTATAATATTTTTACAACATTTACTCACTCACAACAAATTTCCTGAATCTGAAATTTAAGAAATTAATGTTGTAAATGTTGTAAATTTCCTGAACAAATCTGAAATTTAAGAAATTAATGTTGTAAATGGGAAAAATCTAAAAGCTAAAATTTTCATAAAAAACAAATATCATCAAATAAAAGTCCAATAAAACGATTTATGATACTATAAGCGAAGAAGGATCTGCTAGCGTTTATCTGCGATAATTGCTCATAGGAGTGTATATAGTTATATACTAAATTTTTTATGTTTAGAAGACATTCAATAGGAGGACATTTAATGCGATCACCTGAAGATTATGCCGCAACTAAAATTCAGGCTGAAATTCGTGGATTTTTAGCGAGAAAACATATACGAGATATGAAGAAGGAAAGCGATAAAGCTGCAACAAGAATACAGTCAAATATTAGGTTTGTGAGATTTGATACTTCCCCCTCTTCCAATGGGAAAAACCATCGCGATTTTCCTGGCTCCATTGACGAGAGAGACAGAGAGTCCCTTACGGATATATAGTAATGCTTTTGACACCATATTGATCTCATTAATGGTAAGTTTACTCTCTCACGAGTCCGCTAGAAGGGAATTTCATCCAAAGCAACAAAAAGTGTGCTCAAATTTTCTTATCATTATCACAGCGAGATTCTTAGATTTCTCCTCATCATTAACAGCCTTATTTAAATATTACAAATTTTAGAGGTTTTCTAACAAGAAAACATTTGGAAAAAGAAGGAATTGTATTATCACATCATTCGAATGACCACTAAAATTCATCACACGCCGATCTTCACAAAATTCCGAAAATTTCGAATGTAATTCTTTAATATCATTCAATTAAGCATAAGGAAGTTCTGACTTTTCCCAGTCTTTTCCTTTTATAAACTTTCTCCTCATAAAATTATTTCATTCATATATTCTGCTTTTAATTTATAGCAGTCACCTAGTCCACACCTGTTTTTCATTATTTGATCTAATTTACTCCGATGGTCAGTCAGCGATCACAATTTTACGAATTTTAAAAACAACAAACATTTTTGTCCTTTCAACTTTTATGATAAATTTATCTCCATAATGTGGTATCGCTCACTGCTATATTTTCTATTTTTCACCGAATCGATAAAAGTCCAAAATTACTTAAATTCTGCATTTAAGTATTGATATTGTACCACAAGTATTGATAAGCAATGTAACAAGGATAATCAGAAATCACCATTAATATTTCCGATAATTGCCATTCATTATCATGAAAATGCAGTGGCTTTTATCTGCCGTATATCAGTTCACTGAGCCTAAGCCCAACTCATTCTAATCTAAATCTATTTAATCTAACCTTTTAATTTGCATTCAAGGAGGATATATTTTTGTTATTTTTCTCATGATTATTGTGGTTATCATTCTTATAATAAAGTTTTATGTCTCATTTTTTAAATCAATCTTTTTGCGTAGTAGCAGAGCAGAGTACAATTTTTGCAAAAGAATATATTTTAACCAGGTTGATGGTACCAAACCTGCCTAAAAATCAGAAAATGCACTGAAATGTAATGATATTTCAATGTTTCAATATGCAGCATTGCTGCCTCACAATGGTATAGTGGGCTTTGCCAAAATGCTATTGTATTACGATTCAGAAACAGCGCCATTTAGCATTATTGTCATTGAAAATTACAGTTCTATTCATATAATGAACAAATCATCAGCGGAGCACCCAACTGTAAGAGCAACTGCCGAAGAAAAATGCATGTGCAAATGACAACACTGCTAGTGCGGTACAAATTGCCGGAGCAGACGCAAACTGCGATGCGATTACCAGTGCAGGCGCAACTGTTGCAATTGATGTAGATATGGATGCAATAACTGAAGTAGATACAGTGCATCAAAATAACCGAATGGAACCAACACCAACCGATATAGGTGAAGAAACAATAAAAACCCATAAAAACCGCAGAATCTGAAAGATGGAAAAGCGAAAGAGCTGATGCAAAACGGAGAGAATCAGACGGCAAAACAAAGCTGAATAGTAAAGAATGCTCTCGGCTCTCGAATGCACGCGTGCAGCGACTGCGAAATTGGTGGTTTCGTCACCAGTATCGATTATGCCGAAAGTAGTCGCGTCGCACATAATTTATTGGACTGTAGTATAAATCCACTTTCGATCGTTATCAGTTTTTTGAGGAATGATTTTGCGATATTTGCTGATTTTTTTGGTCGTTTTTCAATCTCTTTGATGTATTTTTGCACTGTCGCACTAAGGCGTACCAGTCGCTTTTACAATTACCTCGCTGATAATTTGCAGATGCTTTGAAAATAAAAAGTCTTAAAAGATAAAAAGCTTGTGAAAAATATCAAAGACAGCGGTGACCGACTGCGACGATGGTCGATGATAGACCAACTAAAATTGCTTAATCGCTGCTTTGCATACTTTTGAATGAGCAAATGAGTATTTGCGAAAAGAAAGCAAAAATGCCAGAGACGACTCACTGCGACAATATTGGACGACTGACGAATGAAACCAGTGAAAATCCTTATTTGCTAAAACAAACGAACAAGTCGCAGTTCAACTATAGCAAGATTCACCTTCGCAGTAGCTGATAGCTGATCTGACGCTTCGACAACAACTTCTGTGACAACTTCCTGTGGTTTTAGCAGTCGCAACAACGAAGCGACATACTGAGATAAATGAGCATGCACGGTCATAATAAGTAATTGTCGGCCAAATTGCTGTTATTCGGTTGCGGCTTTCTCGTCTTTTTTCTCTATTTTTTTCCATTGGTTTGCCCATTCTCTCGCATTCGTTTATTCTCTCTTCATTGTTTTTTCATTCACCATTTTCTTTGACCCTTTTTTGTAATTTTATTATACTTTGAGAACAGTTGTCTTTTAGTAGGAAATGAACTTCCGGTGATTATCGGTAACAGCTGTTCTTCTTTTTCATCATCAGTGTCATCATTATTATCATCATTATTTCGTAAACGATCTTCGTTCATCATTGTTCGACCATTTTTATTTTTGCAAAAATCTCTTTTCGCAACAAATTTCATAAATTTCTCGTTTATATTTTTGCGAAACCTTAGCTCATTTCCTTTTCCACGGGAACATTTATATATTTTTTCAAATTGATGTGCTATAAACCTTTAGATGGCAATAAAATTGAATTCTCAACATATGGGTAAAATTTTTAAAATTAATCTTAAATTCTGCTAAAATTCTTTTCGATGGCGTTGCTTGGGTGGATAGTAATGCCAGTGAGGATTCCTGTAATCGAGATTTACTGGTTAAATACCTGAGGTGAAGAAGAAGCAATAAAGTGAATAGTGAATATAACGAGATTAGGGAAGAGAATGAAAAAGAGCATTTAATGATATGTGTAGTATCGGTTGCTAATCAATACTCCCTTATAAAACAGAGGGAGGGAGTGATTTCTCTATCTGCTGAAGTCACTCAGTGTTGTGTTGTATTTATCTAAAAGAAAAAAATAATCGCTTTTTGGGTGGTAAAAGTTATCCTCAACCTCGAGTCCTCTGCGAGAGGTTTTCAGTAGCGCGCCCTTCTGGGTAGAGGTCTCTGATGTTATTCTTTAATGTGCTGGACCACTTTTCTAGTTTAAGCATCATACCTCCAGGTGCTCTAATTGTCACTGGGTTTACTTTGGCTCTCACTTTCCACATCTCTGATTTCTTTATATACATATATACTTTTTGTTATTGCGTGTGTATATTTCCTGGTTACTCAGTTATTTTTATAGTTACTTCTTCACTTATTTTATTCTTAAAGTAAAAATGTTCCTTCCATCAACATAATATTTACATTCTACATTAGTCGACGACGGTCTTTCTAATTTTAGTTTTTTGTCCTTGGATTGAATAAGCTGCTCAGCTGCTTCCGAATATGTCAAAATGTAGCGACTACCCCAAGATCTTTTTAACCATTGCTAGAGATCCCGTAGCAGATAATCAACAGCATCAATAAAAAATGGAGATGTTCACAACTGCACTACTGCAAATGAAAAAAAAATGAACTACAGATCGTTTTTTGATCAAAAAAAAAACGACAAAGACAGTTCACACAGTCAACTTTCAAACAACCAAAGAACCTAACTATCTTATCAAATAACTATCTCGGAAAACAGAAAGATATACCAAGACCATGTTGATTCTGCGGCGAAATGCATTATGTCAGATATTATGGCTGTCGAAATCATAAATACTCAGATACGCAAACATATAGATCATAAAGAAGAATTTTAAATAATAGCAGAAGGTCCAAATGTTTTCTTGAAATAAATAAAAGAAGATCGAACGAAATCAGGTCGAGGCAAAAGCTTAAAAAATCTAATAAAAAATGCAAACTAACAACAATCAACAACTTATAAAATTTTCGAAAGCAGAATTTAACGCATTTAATTAGTTTTAAATTGAATTATGGAGGAATCAGCCTACCAGACGCCTCAGCGAAAATTTTTGCTTCCTTTTTAGTCAGTAGACTTATGGCAATAAGGCACCCTAATAAAGCTGGATTTGAAAACCAGCCAAGCAGGGCGCAAACGCTATGTGCTTGTATTAATAACATCAGTTAAAATAACAAATAATAAGAATTAATGACAAATAACAAAAAATAATGATATTAAAATAAAATGAATTAAAATAAAATAAACAATTTAAAGATGAAATAAAGAGGATATTGCAAAATAATAAAATATAGTACATTTTTCACACTTCCTGCATTTCACATTTAGACTGGGGCATGCTTGTCCTAACCAGATATTCATTAAGAAGGGTTTGGAATATCGTTTCAAATATCTGCAAGTCAGCTTTTGCTTTTGCGGCTGTTTTCGATTCATTTGATAGAACGGTGTTTTGGAGAGTGATGGAACTTGATGGTGTTTCAAAGACCCATAAAGGCTTTTATCAGCGTACGTCGTCTATATATGGGAAATTGACAGATTTCTTCGAAATAAGAAATGGTGTCAAGGCTGCTGGCTTCGCTCTACAATATTTAATTCCGGTAGGATAGAATGGCTCACTGGGTTGTTTCCGGGATGCAGATGCTGAGGTTCTATTTCCCACAGGAGTAAACCTATACAGAAATCCGGATGATGCTGGCGACTCACTTGTATCGCCAAGGGGCTCTGGCATATTTATGCGACAAGCCAGCAGAGAGAATTTAACCAGTAATGGTGAGGATTCTTAAATAAAAAATCTGACCCCAGTATAGTATTCAATACAACATTCTTTTACTTACTTTTACTTAGTTACTTTTTGATAAAATAAAAATAGAACTATATTTGGATGAAAACTTTATTTATTCACAATATTATGCCATAGACTGGACAGTGGAGTACGCTTGTCGGCATTCAAGAGGTGTACAAATCAGTCCAGAGCATCTTATCATTCCTTCACAGATCTCGAATACGCTGTTGTAGTTCTTTTTGCCGACAGTATGTCGAAATGCAGATAATGTCGTGAAAAGTTTTATTCAGAAAGAAGGAAAAAAACTGAAAATTTTTGAAAGGAGTGAGTGACTTGCGTACTCGTCGACGATTTCACGAATTAAAATTAGATATACAGCTAGTTGTAGATTTTGCCCGGATATCAATATAATAGAACGATGTGCAAAATAATAACAGTCATTATAGCGAATTGAAATATAAGTTATGAGTGAATAGTAGGATTACGATTGAACAGGGAAGGTATCGTAGAAAATGACTGACTAACTGTCTAACTAATAAAACGACCGATAAATTCATCGACCCAATACGAAAGCTGCCCAAATAACAAACTGACCAAATAAACACACCCTTATCTTTGGTCGCATTCCTTCTTGTTTTTATAAGGAATTAGAGAAAAAAAGAGATTTTAATTTATAATTAGACGTAATTTCTTTACAAATAGATAGTATTCACAAATTTGATTCAATTTGGTACCAGGTATGAGTTCATTTATGATTTTAAGCATGGGAAAATATTCGGTATAATATTCGGTTTTTCCGACAAATAACATTGAACAATGTGTTAATAACTGTAGCGAAGGTCGGACTCAGGATCAGTGTAAATAAAACGAAAGTCTTTTCATCTTGCATGAAGTTGATAAAATACCTATTTTTATAAACTTATTACCAGTTAAGGGAGTGAAATACCTTGGATTCATTCTAATACCGAATGGCCAAGCAAAGGACGAAATTACAACCCAGATAATGGTAACTAGAAATGCGTTCTTCCGGTTGATGGAACTTTATGGAGAAAGACGAGAAAGTCTTGAAATCACCATAAAAACGAAATTTCGAATCTGTATTGCGATTCGCTCAATCTTACTATATAGCGAGACATGGTTGATGAGAATGGAGGATATTAAAAAGTCATTTGCCTTTGACCACTCATCTAAGATGCATTTTTGCGGAATGAAATTTCATATTCCACCGAGTGGATAAAATTCACATGATCGCATCCACCTTCGCTTAAGAACCCATCTGCTACTATACTACCATCATAAAAGGCTGCCTTCGCTGGTATAGGGCACATTCTTCGTCGTCCACCACAAGAATTGGCACATATTTCGTTGCTGAGTACAAAAATCGAAGTTGACAAAAATCGAGATCTGGACTGATACGTTGATTTTGAGCGTATAGGTGGAGCAGCTATACATGGACTTGGACGATGGAAAAAAGTGACTTCTATTACATATTTCTATCGGTGATGATCAGATCGCGCAGCTTGAAAGCATTTTTGGCAGTAGAGCCAGCATAACCAGTAATGATGAGAGCTGTTACAAGAAAATTGAATGTAATAGAGTCTGATAATATATCCTTTTGTCCCAACAATCTTGGAGGGACCAGAATTAAGGAAGTAGGTTTGTTCCATAACTTTGAAAAAGCTACAACATTAATAGATGGAGACTTCAAATTTTTCCGGAAAAAAAATTAGAGCGCATGTTTCATTATGAAAGGAATAAACCTTGGTTTGGTAAAGGTTGAAAATCTTAATCTTTATGATGTCATTAACTTTTTGCTGAAAATTGCAGAAAACGGTTGTCCATGTCGCATAATACAGTGACATCATATATTCAGGTTCTAAAACAGATCTGACGGTCTCACCATCTGTCTGATATTCTGTCTGATCACTCATCTATCTGATATTGACTGATATTGTTCCAAAACAAAAGCAGTATTTCGATTAAGACCAAATGCCGAACTTATCGTCAAATCTCGAAGATCAGTTCCATATATGTCACAAATAGAAACAGAACTAAGAACTAAATCGAGGAGAAGGAAGAAAAAAAAAGAACTCTTCGCGTTTCGTACGCTGCACTTTCCAGTTTCCTAACGTTAGTTTTTTTCAATTTTTTCGATTATTTTATCAGCTAAATTAGCCTTTTTTTCAAATTATGTAATCGTCCCTGCGCACTTTTTAATCATTCTTTAAGGAAAAAACATTTCCTTTAACTAATCCAATTTGATATTCCAATTTGAATAATTCAGAAAATCAAGAAATTCCTCATGCATTATAGGAGTACACCAGATGCATTCCTCTCAGATTATATCGCACCATTAGAAGCATTGATAGGAAGGACGAGCTTCATTACTTCTTTTGAATCCATCTTCTAGCAAGTAATTCTCAAAACCAAATGGTAAACCAGCGAAATTGCAAAACAATAAAAAAATCAGAGGTAATATGGGAACGAGCGAAAACCTTCTAGAGCAACGGGAATGCGGATTAGAGGGAGAGGTTGAAATTGGCAAAAAATGTCATATATATGGTACCACCAATCAGTTTAGCAAATAACGAATAGCCGTCCACTGTGAGAATATATTAATGCGCTAAACACTTTTTTGGAGATACTTTAAATCTTTCGGCAAATGAAGCAAGAGGGCTGACTTCTGACAGTATGAACATCTGAAGGTCATTGAGCCGAATCAGTCTGGACCCACAAAATCACCGATATCAAGTTCATATGGTGTCTTTTTTGAAGCTCTCTTATGATGTTTTTTTTGGCGAAGAGGTATTGTAGTATCGATTGCTAATCGATTGGTACTGGCATCGGCATTGTTGTGGATCAATTCCATTATAAAATAGGAAGAAGTAATTTCTATCGAAATCGCTTTGTTGTTGCATTTATCCAGAATTTGCCTCCTTGTTAGAGCATTTGTTTTTTCTGGTTTCGTCTTCTTTACTTATTGTCCTCATTTTATTTTAGCTTTATTTCATGTTTAAGTGGTTTCTGTCATCCTTAAAATAAAGATCTTCGCGGTACTCCACCAATCAACAAAATATCACAGTGTACAATGAATACCATGACTGCTAACAGTAAACTAACAGCGAACAATGATGATAAGTTTGATTTTCGGCATTCGTGTCGTCTTTAACCCCTTGCATTCTGCTTTCTCACCTTTCTGTTAGTTATATTTCACAGTTTTTGTTTTAAATAACTCATCTTTAATTCTCCTTTGAAAATGAAACGTGTCACGTGAATGTCTGCGTTGAAGCAAATGTATACGCAAATCTCGATGCGTTGTACAGTTTGTCAGTGTCAGCGTCTACGTTACGAGACATTTATATGTGCACATAACGCGTTTGAAAAATCATCAATCGATATTTTTTACAAGAAAAACTAAAATTTCCGTGGTCTCGTTTTATTTATCTTTGTATTTTCTCGTATATTCTCTCATTGTTTCTTTATTTCTTGCGGTGGTCTTTAGTTTTTGACTCGTGGCTTCCTCGTTTTCTCTTTTTCTCCATGACCTTCTCCACTTCTCCTCTTTCCCCACTGTTTTATTTTTGCTTCTCGGGCTCTCCATGTTTTCCTTTTCTCCTCTTTTTATTCCTTTCCTCCCTAATTCTCTTCGTATTTGTCAGTGACAATAGTGAATCAATTCATTTCGTTCCGCTGCATTGACTATTTATTGTTTTTTACTACATGTTAAATTGCTTAATTAATTAAACCATGGAATGACGTCAGATGGGCTGAAACTCATTTATGGGTTATAAGTCATTATGACAGTTAGTGGTCGATTCAGTGATTTATTTTACGCGATGAAATCATATGTCAATTAAAAATAATAAAAATAAAATAATAGTACAAATATAAATTTTTTTTCGCCATCATAATTCGAAATTTTGCAATTATTCAAGAAATTAACTATTTTAACGAATTTTTTCATTTATCGATTGGCGGTGATTTTGCATTCCTTAACTGTACTTTTCATACAAAAGGAAAGATGATATAAAAATTAAGTAACTGCGATATTCAATTTCAGGAATAATCAAGAAATTTTATTGTATTGAACGATTATTTTTTAATTGGTGACGAATTATTGATAATAATTTTTTTTGCTGATAAAATCAGCTGATTCAATTATTTGTTGATCAGATTTGACAAGGAGAAAGAAATATTGATCTATGAATTATTATTATTTAATGGAATGGTAGCACTAGATGTTCGATTCGCAAATATGTTACAGCAAAATGTTTGCTTTTTTTATTCTCTATTAATCTGTTTCAAAAGCCACCCGTTCGTCTCATTTCCTTTCAACGTGCATCATTTTCCTCATTTGACCCTGATTTGTCATCTTTGATCCGATTTTGTTCAACTGAATCCCATTTCGTTTCATCGGGTCACTGGTTTCAAATTGTAAATTAGAGCAATAAGAGCAAAAAATGAAATCGATGGAAAATATTTTCATTATTGTTCTCAGCGAAAGTTTCACAATTTTTTCATGACAAGTGAAATTTCGAAAGTGACAGTTGAATAATGAATGGTTCATACAGAATTTAATAGCTCTAAAGCAGTTCATTTTTTCTCGAAAGGAAATTTACTAGTTTCATGAAATTTTTTAAATCAAATTTTGTAAATCGAATAAGCAAAATAGTAAATTTTGATCCAGTAAATCCTCTCTCTTCCTTCTCATCAATAAGTATCCATTCATAAAAAGAAAATGAGGAATATTCAAAGAAAAATCTTCATAACTAAAGAATTTGTAAGTTAGTAACAAAATAATCCGTATAATTTAGAAGCTTTCTAACCTCTAGAGAAAATGGCCTTCGAGTTGAATTCTTCAGATGCTTCAGGCTCTGCCCAACAATATTCACAACCCACCTATTAAGGTTATGTTCACTGGTTTGGGATATGAAGCAAATACTATACGACTGGAGCAGTCGTGTTTCCACTTTCTAGGAATGGCGATGGGATGAAGTACGACATCGAGATCAACTTGCCAGATATTTGTGTCAGCTTTTGTCTTTCTTCTGTTATCATGGAAGTGATAGCAGAACGCGCGCTAGCCAATTTAGGCGTGGTTTCACTAACCTGATTTTCATGCTTAGATTAGTATTGGAAGTATTAAGCTTCTCTTAATTTGTCGCTGCTTGTTTCATCGTCTTCACAATTGCTTTAAATTCATTCGAGAGATCTAGCAGTACTACGATAAGAAAAGATAACATCAGCATAAGTGTGGTTGGAACTTACACAACCTTTCGAAACACGAAGGTGCCCCCCTCTGTAGTTTCTATGCGATAGATTGGATTAATATTATGTATAGCGTTTACCGGCACACAACTGATACAGTCCACGGTATCACGAATCTTGAATATGCTACTGACATTCTGCCGACATCTACGAACAACCAAAAGAGTCATTAAAGGTAATAATGGCAAAATTAGCATTTAAATGCATATAAGAATCCTTATATACGAATTCTTTTAATCGTATATGCGTAATGCTGATATATCATAATTTAAAATCATTACTGTTTCAAGAAGTATTGATCCGCTCGCTGCGATTAAGGGTGCTTTCTTTCAATAAGCAAAACCTTTTGGTATCATCGCAAAACTAGCCTCAAAAATTCACGTCAAATGTTTTGTTGTAGTGCGTGCGGTAACATGGTCAGAAAAGTGGGAAGTATCAGGAAGATTGATCTTATTTCGCCCATCTTTCTATACGCGAGATGGACATAAATTTTCATACGGTTGCATTCACTTTCGAATGCATTAACAATATCCTCAGATCAACTGGATTCTTCATCTTCCATTTCAGTCAAAATCGAGGACCACCGATCGAGATCTGGCACATTAGACCCCGACAAATTAACAATCATATAAGTTATTAGAAAAAAGAAATATAAGGATCGTTGGTTAGGTTCAGTTCACTGGCTATTCCTGTGTAGAAATTTGGTGAAAGAAATGGTAAATGTTTGCTTCTGTTAGAGGTAGAGTACAGAATTTAATAGTTATGTAACAAAATTATCTATAAATGATAATAATAAATGATAACCGTGCTAGGCAGCATTAATGGTAATTTTTAAGCTTTTAAGCTTTTTTTAGCTTTTTTATTAGCTTTTTTAAGCTAAGCTTTTATTAGTTTTATTTATTGCATTTATTTGTTGTAATTAAAATTACTTGTAGCATGTTGCAACAGCCGTTTGGCCAGCAACAATGAATACTCAAATACCTATTGGTCCAACAATTCAAACGACAACTAATAGTGATGATGGTGCAAATAATACAATTCCTGGAAATAATCCACTTTTTTTAAGAACTTCTTTACAGCATTATCCGAATAATTTCAATTCATTCACGAATAAGTTAGTTTTTTTTATTAAAAGAGCTTGAGGAATGAACCCAAATTGTTTAGTCAAAAATTGTAATCTAAATAGGAAAAGATGCAATGTTTAATGAATGCTAATGAATATTTATAATCTGAGTGGTAATACTAGTGATGTTTTTTTAAAAATTTTATTGGCTAATAGACTCTGTGGAGGATATTGTCGTAATCTTATTTGCTAATTATAATTTTTTTTTTTACTGTTTTCCGCTGTTAAGAATAGGCAAAAATACTTTCGAAGTGGAAGTTGATTGCTGAAGACTGAGCAAGAAAGCACTCATGTAGTAAGAATTATGGGGAATTACATTTTTATATCTTAGTAATTAACAGTGGCTGAATTCAGTTTAGAAAACATTAGAAAAAGAGTTTACGTAAACAAGCCATAATCAATTTTATCGCTAATTTCTCATTTGTACATTATGTAGTAAATTGTCTTACATATTAATATTATATATTATTTTATTGTAGTTTTTTTATGAATTTTTATTATCCTAATTAAATTGTTTTATTTTTTAATGAGCAAAATTGTACGGTTGAGCCTATTCGATCTAATGTTTTAGGCATTGCTTCTGGCAAGAATTGATAGTGTTATTCCATATCAACTGATTTTCAGTTTATTTAAATAGGAAAGCAGTATAGGTGTAAGCATAAATAAGCATATATCTCTGTGTAATATAAAGCATAAATTATTACTGGTACTGTATACAGTAAATTAAAATATTAATTATTGGAGTGTGTTCAAATGTTTTTCAGCGATATAACATCAGGGCAACAACAACAATCGCAATCGCATTCTCATATGAATTTCCATATGGCAAATCAAATTCCTCACGTTGTTACTAGCAACTCGACGATTGTTCAGCAACAGTCGACACTTGCCGCAACTCAAGGAATGCAAATCTCCCAACTCAGTGCACTAATTAATCAAGAAGATGGCAATAATGGCTCGAATGTTGATACTGATAATTTAAGTTCATCCCAAGTTCGAATTTATCGTGATCCAGCAACTGCACCATTACGAAAATTAAGTGTTGATTTAATCAAAACGTATAAAGGTATTAATGAGGTTAGTTTTTTTTGTTAAAGAACCGGGTATTTTTCTCAGAATTTATACTATTTCATACATTCCCAGACAATTTTGCAAAAAATTTAGCAGTTAAGATTTGAGTTATGAATTGTTGTTCGCCTTTTTAGTGTTGTGAAGAGATTAAGAGTTAAGAAAATCAAAACCAAAATCAAAATCAAAACCAAATTTTTTTCATTCCTCAGGTTTTACCTTCGAATAAAATGGTCTTGGAGGTCAAAAATATTGATGCTTGTTCGAATCATTTATTCATAAACATAGATTAAAAATTTTTTTTTATTTTTTATTTTTATTTTTTATTATGAATTTTTTTTATTTTCCTATATCTGTGTGCCTTCAGCTTGGGTTTTTGGATTTTGGGTTATACTTGTTTTAAAAGAATTATAAGAGCACGTTTCGATAATAAAGAAATCAATGCAATATTCAAAGAAATTATTTCGACTACTTTCATAATTTATTTTTTCCTCATTTAATTTTTTTCTTACAGTTTTATTTTTAATATTTCCTATTCATAATTCATAGCACCATTTAAAAATGATTTATGATATATTTATGAAAAGTTTTTTTCTACCACGAATAAGGTTTGAAACATAAGAAGATAGACATATCGGTTATTACTCTCCATTATGTATATTTTGTGAGTTTATCTTTTGAATAAATCAGAGCAACTGATTTTATGTACATGTTTGTATCTAGCCATGCTGTATTCCTGGAAAATGGAGGATTTCGAATATTTTGGTGCTTTTAATGGTTTTTCGTCTGATCTCATTTAGATCTCATTTAGAGTAGGACTCATTTAGATTTGAATTGTATAAAAAAATTTAGCATTTCTCTCAATTGTTTTTGAGATAAAACGAATTAGATTGAATTTAAAGGATGGAATTTATACAAAAATATTCATTCATCTATTGACATATAAGGACAGAATTAACATATTTCGTTAATTTTCCGTCTGTTGCATATACATAGGGTAAATGGGTTTAAGGGGATGGATGTTAATGTCGTTTGATCTTGACTGTCAAATTTTATATTTAATGAATTTAAATGAGAGAAAAATTGAATACGAATGGAATGATCTAAGCAATCTATCCATCACCAACTCAAAACAATATATTTCGAAAGATCAGCTGTCAGATCTTATTTATTGGTTGCCCTGATACGAATTATAACCTTAAATAACCTGTAACCTGTATAACCTTAAATCTTTTTTCTTTTTGACATAAATTTATTCAAAAAAGATAAAAAGGAAATAAAGAGGAGTTCTTCGAAGTAGAATGGCATTTGAAATGTTTTTGATAAATTCTTTGTATTCGTTTGACACTTCGAATCCTCTTTAACTGACTGCTTTCATTTTCGCGATTGTCTACGCGAAATTTGGCGGGCTTAGATGATAGCGAAGTGATGCTGAGGGCATAGCTGCGGTAAATACCGTTAGAGCTAAAACTTTTGATAGCTATAATGAGGTAAGATTTTCGTTTAACAGAGTTTCGTTTCGTATATTTAAAGAAAATGAGATTTTGGAATGTAACAACTTTTGGAAAATGTATCCTTATATCCTTATAATAATTCCGAGTAGGACTATTAATATGCTAGTATTTTATTGATTTCCAATGGGTTTTAACAGAAGGGCATGATACCGCTGAAAGATAATAGTTTTTAACGATGCTGAAGAATAAAACGTGATTTGAGGTCTTGAAAAAATTTTGGGTTATTATCTCATCTTATTTGAAGTTATTATATAACGAATTGGCTTGTGGTAGGGTGCAGTTGTGGCTAACGTTAGTTTTAGATCTGTAAACATGTTAAAAATATTAAAACGGTAAATTATATAACATTATTGAACAAATTTTATTGTTACAGGCCAAATACTGATTTTAAAATCGAAAGTACTACTCAAAATAAATTGAAATAGGTGAAATAAGATAGATTTAGATTTTATATAACTAAAGGGATAATTTTTTAACTTTTATTTTCTTTTTCAGAATTATTATGCGCGTAAAGTAAAAAGGAGGTACGATCATGATCAAATTAGCAGTGCTTCTCAAAGTTATCATTTGAGCCTGCAACAACACGATCAACATCATATTGCACCTCCACCAGTAAAACAAGTGGCATCATTCGATCGTCAGGTACGTTATTCTTTCGATTTATTCGACTACTTTTTTGCTATTATTTGATAAATTACTTTTTTTTCAGAACTTTTCACCATTTTGCTTAAATTTTTAAAGGGTTTCAGGTTATTTTTTTCTGATTCTGCTTTATTTTTGTATATCATTTGTGCTTTAAACATATTAATAGGTTTTTGAACTTTTAGGTACTAAAAAGGCAGGTTTCGCAATTATTAAATCAACAAGCGCAACTGACTTATTCTCAAGTATTTTTTCGTACCATTTTTCCATTTCATTATTTTTCTTGAATTTTTTTTGGAGAAAGCGAAGGTTTTTCGTAAACATTTCCGAATGATGCGTTTCTAAAAAATTTCTTAAATTTGAATTTATTTAAAGGTTTTAGAAGATATATAAGGAATGTTAGTGATGAGCAAGATAACCATGCTATTTCCGCAAATAGCCATAGGCTAATAGCTAATAGTTAATAACTGCAGTGATATTTACCTTTTTTCTTCTAACAGTTCTTACCAACACTGATTAGGCTAGTTCCTCTGGTTATAAGGGGTAGGCATGTAATAAACCACGCCATTGTCGACAATAGAAGCTTTTCATTTTTCCATCGTCTAATTCCATATATCGCTGGTCCATCTATACGTTCAAAGTCTTTCCTGATTTTATCGGTCCAGATCTTAATTGTCCCACCTCGCTTTTGACACCATCCGTCATAAGGTTTACCAAGTAATGAAATGTGTGTCAATTTTGTGGTGGGCAGCAAAAAATGTGCACTAACTAAAGCGACTCTGGTGGTACGGTACTATTAATGCAGGTGGTATTTGAACGAAGATGGATGCAGTCTCTTGCAAGATTTTATCCGCCCGACGGACCTGTAAAATGTATGTCTTATAAATCTTATAAATGCATCTTAGACATGAGTGGTCAAAGAAAAATAGTTTCTTAATAATTTTCTCTATTCTCATTTGCCATGTCTCGCAGCCATATAGCAAGATCGAGCGAATTGCAGCTATATGAACGCAGATTTTCGTTTTTATAGTGATTTAGCGAAGGCTGCATAAAGATTTCGTCAAGCGGAAAATCAAATTTCTAGCTACCGTTTTCCCGGTTGTAATTTCATTTTTTGCCTGACCATTTGGGATTAAAGTGGATCCAAGATATTCAGAATCGTGCACTTCCTCAGGCAATGAATTTATAAAAATAGGTATTTTTTTTTAGCTTGTTGTATATGAAACGAAAAGATTTTCGTTTTATTTACAGTGACTCTGATTCGATTTTCGCTGCAGTCGTGATACATTATTTACCGTTATTTACATTTCTTCATAATCAGGGTCTGTATATACTGTGCTCTGGACTGATTTGGATTCTTGGGTACCGGCAAGCGATGTCCATTAACCAATTTATTGCATTATAAGTCGAAAGATCTCTGAATTCCTTGCATTTTACGAGGCAATCTTTAGTAGCCTTAAAATACCATTATTATCCCATATCCATTTCATTTACCGTTCCCCGAGGTATAGTTGCCCTATTGTGGCCTAATGGAACTATCATCTGTATTTTCAAGGTCATTTCCCTCCAACAGCCATTTCTTCGTGCTACTGTAATTTTTCGAGGTATCTGGTAGTCAGGATCTGCTGATATTCGCGCTGACAGTTTTTTCGAACATTTCCAAAGTTTCTTCCGATACCCAGCTAGCACATTTTCTACGGTTGACTTTCGGAGTCGTTATGCTTTAATTGACTAGTATTTATTTGCCGTTCGAGAGATGTCATTTATTTGATATTTCATTTATATCTATTTCGCTGAAATGTTTCATTAATTCGATTGGAAATGCCGTCGCTGAATCTTTTAGTTTGAGGTAGTTGAAAGATTTTGAGGACGCTTATTTCTTGCAACTTGTCAATTTTATGTGGGTCTTGGGTCGAACCATAACATGGTCAGGTCCATGGAAGCTACCCGTTTTAGCATCGCGACAGGAATGACTATTTAATACAGAACTCTTCCATCTGCGAATAATACTATAATCAATCTGGTTGGAGTGTTGGCTATCCGAGGGATTCCACGTAACTAGATGTCTTCTCCCGATATCGGGCTATCTTAGCAATATAAGTAATATCAAAAAAATTCATATCGTCAGCAAGATGAAGACATTCTCCATTGGCACAGCGGATCATGATGCCATATTTGCCAATTGGCGAGCTCATCGTGGCAGTATCTTGACCTGCGCTCATTCTCGCCTTTCCCAAGTTATCACCAAGTTACTTTTCGGTTGAGATTTTGTCAACAGTTGAAGTTCCGCATAGAACTAATTTTTATCACGGTCATCTGCAGATAAAATTGGAGCATATACACTCACGACCAAGATCTTGCAAACTTACATTTAAAACGGGCATAAACCCTACAGTCGCTTACCGATTTCCATTCATAGCGGGCCTATTTTCTTTAGAGAATCGCTATGCCATTTCACTTTGAATTATCCACTTTCATACGATTAACTTTTTCTAATGAAGAAATCAATGATGCAATTTCTTTTTTCATTGGGCAAGAAAAAATATGCGATACAAGAAAAACTTCAGATTGGCTTGAATCCTTTTGAATCTCTTCATATTATTGAATATAATTGTTCTGGACTATTTATTTTCAGGAACTGCTTCCTCGCTCTGGCATTTATAATGATGGGTATGATGATGAAGAACACGATTATATTATTCATTTGGGTGAGATTATAGCTAACAGGTATTTTTTTATAGGTGGTGTTTTTATTTTTCTTTCCTGTTATTTTTTGCATATAGGTAATTCCTCCCAGTTCTTAGGTCATTTAAGTTTATTTTGTCAAGTGTACTGTGGGTGGTACTAAAAATTGCAATCGTTTTTGAAAATTATTTTGTTTTTGGGAAGTTTTTTAGCAGATTTTAGCGGATAGTAGTTCATTTTTGTTTAACAAGGTATTGAGCCATTTTTCCATTATGTATTATAATTCTAATTTTTATTAAATTAGATATCAAATTCAACGCCATTTGGGGAAAGGTTCTTTCGGGCAAGTGGCAAAAGCATATGATAAATTAGAAAAACAAGATGTGGCAATAAAAATAATCAAGAACAAAAAACCTTTTCACGATCAAGCTGAGATTGAGATTAAATTATTAGAAATGGTCAACAGCCATCATTCGGATTTCAGACATTATGTTGGTATGCATTTTTAAGTAATTTAAAATGGATTTAATTTTTCATTTTTCGACACAACTTTCGACACAAGATAACAGAAAAAAGTCAAAATCCTCTCATCTTTTTTTCGAAAAGTCTTGAAATCTTTGTATCAAATGTAGATACACTTAATTTTGAAATTGATTTGGATAAAACGCTTTTGGATGAAGATTCTTGATTTATCTTTTTTTTTTTGATGGTCTATAATGTCCAATATGTATTATGTATTTCAGTTAATCTTAAGACTCATTTCATTTGGCATAATCACTTATGTCTTGTTTTTGAACTGTTATCCTACAATTTGTATGAATTGGTAAAAAATTCCAATTATCGTGGTGTATCGTTGCATCTAACTAGAAAGTTTGGTTATCAGGTTTATTTTTCCTATAAGATTTTTCTAATGAAGAAATCGCTGTTTTTTTAAAATGACGTCTTCTTTTGATACCTATGAGGAAGAAACGTTCTGAATTGATTCAATTCTGAATTGAAAAAATAATTTTGCAGATAGTAACAGCCCTGGCATTTCTCTCCTCGCCAAATCTGAAAATAATTCATTGCGATCTTAAACCAGAAAATGTATTACTCTGCAACCCTAAACGATCTGCAATAAAGATTATCGATTTTGGTTCATCATGTCAAGTTGGTAATCGTATTTACCAGTATATTCAGTCAAGGTTTTATCGTTCACCGGAGATCTTACTTGGTCTTCCTTATGATGCAGCTATCGATATGTGGTCGCTCGGTAAATCTATCATTTGTTTGAATATATAGATAATGTAGAATCACTTGGTTACTATCAGTTTTATCTGCGGTAAATTGATATATTTCATATTAGTGGATTTATCATTTGAAATAACCTTTAATTAATGAAATTTTAAGGTTGTATATTAGTCGAATTGCACACTGGTGAAGCACTTTTCACTGGTAGTAATGAATTTGATCAACTTATGCGAATAATTGAAGTAATTGGTATGCCACCTAAGCACATGTTAGATATGGCTAGCAAGACAAAAAAATATTTTTATAAAAATGATGGTGAGTTTGAATTTTCAATGCTTCAATTTTTGCATCGTTAAATTATGATTTGTCCTGTTCTTTTCGTTTTTATTTGTGGCTTGTTCCAGATGGGTCATATATGTGCCAGAGAACATGTGGTAAACAGTACAGGCAGCCAGGAAGTAGGAGTCTTTCAGAAATTATAGGTGTCGATTCAGGTGGCCCAAGTGGGCGTCGTCTTGGCGAATGTGGTCACACACCTGAAGAATACAATAAATTCAAAGTAAATAACAAATTTTCTTTTTTGGTAGTCGGTCTAACATTTATTAATTTGGCTTTATAACCTTTGAAAATAGGTAAACCTGAGATAAAGTGAAAAATTTCTTAAATTAAGTTTATTTTTTAATATCTTTATTTCGAGGATTTAATTGAGCGAATTTTGGTATTTGATCCAAAAACTCGAATTACTCCACAAAATGCTTTAAAGCATTGTTTTCTTAATCGAGTGAATGAGAACAACTCAAGCAATAACAATAAAAATCAGTCAGTGACAAATAATCAGGTCGTCCTTAGTCCATTGGTTTGTAAAATTTTTATATATTAGATGTATATTAAATTTTACTAAACATAATTATTCTAGAAAAGTTAGGTTTGATATGTGTCCTTTATAATTATTTTGAATATTTTTATCTAATGAAATAGAAATAAATATATAATTTTCAGTTGATTATGCTACTTTTTGTTATTAAATTAAATTACATGGTTCAATTAAAGATTTCATAATTGTATTTTTAATTGGCTGGGCCTAAAGAATTAATTTTTTTATACGTACTAAACTTGAATTTCTCCTGAAATTATCAGTAATTATTGATCTTTATATTTTAAAGATGCGTTTCCATCACCAGCAGGAACCACCGCAACAAACAATGTTTGTTGATGATATAACATTGTCGCAAATGGATTGCGGTGATGTTTCTGGTATAACACAATCGAGTCTACAGGTTTTTTGCTATTTTCAATGAAAAAAATTTCGATTATACAAATTTTTATCCATTTATTCAGTGATTTCCTTATAGTTATATTTTGATTATAATCGTGGAATTCTATTATTCATTTGCAAAAGTTTCAGTTGTTGATTTCATTGCTAGTCTGTTTTTCAGGGATGGGACTTACAGGCCAACACTTCCCAAAAATTCAGCTCGAATCAGAATTTCTATCAGTTAGTATATAGTTAATCTAACCTTCAGTTTTCATTGGCCATGTTTTTTTTTTTTTATATTTTTATATAGTCTTTTATATAATCTTTTTATGTGTTTAATACTTTGTTAAATTTCTTGAATAGATTTGTTTGAATGGAAAATTTTTTTATTCGAATTTTATTTCTCAGAACATCGCAGCCATTTGGTGTTTTTAACCAATCGCTTGAGCAACACTATAGAAATCAGCCATCAACCTCCCATCATTTCGATTCTTCGCACTTTATGGTTGCAGCGTCAAATGAATCTTCTGTTTGGCCTAATAATGAACGTCATATTCTTGATCCTAGTAGATTTGGCCATAACTCTCACTCAGTTTCCAGCCTACAACCAGTATATTTCAAAATTTTTAAAAGTTTCCTTCATTATTAAAAAATAGTTGGTAGAAAATAACTTTTGATAAAATAATTTTTCAATGATTTATCGTCAATTATTTTATCATTTATGTCTTCAGTGAAAAAGGCTTGGTTAGGAAAAATTTCCGATTTTTTAATTTTATTACATGAATCAGAAATTTATTTTATTTTCTACAGAGCCGGAATCTGAGTTTTGACGGTACGGTGGTGGGTGGTGGACAAGTAGCTCGGCGTAATCGTATATTAGTTCCAATAAAATCAACTATGTCAGATGGAAATACTATAATCAGTTTTACGCCAAGTTTGCAGTAATTTTTTTTCTGTTTTCTTATTTTGTACCAAATTTATCCTTTCCTATATTTATGTACTGTTTATGTACCACTTTTTTGTGACCTTTTTTTCTATTATTATTTTTGATAAACAATATGATTTTACATTCATTTTATAAATGGGATTTTTTTGCATATATTGTTCACAAACGAACAAATTTTTCATCTATAACATAACATCGTTTTACTGACATACTTCGTTTTTGTCGCTCATTTTGTGTTTTTTTTTCACCATAATATACACCTTTCGACAATCATTTAAACTTCGCCAGCGGCTTTTTTCAGGATTTTTCGATGTTGAATGGACTAGATTAAATTTTGCGATATTTTTTATATTGTTTGTGACCAGGTTATCTCTGCGCTTCATTTAATTTATCCCTTAAATAATAGACTTATCAGAAAGAAATTGCTCATAAATATATATATAATTTAAATTCAGTGGTTATATGAAGAAGAATGGTATAATATAATCTTTCCATTTTATAGGATTTTTTTCTGTGTATGAAATTTCGGAATAATCATTCTTCTAAAACTGGCCATAAAGATTCAGAAAACTAAGATATTTTGTGTACCATATTTCAAAATAGGTTGCTTGTATATAATTGAGGCTGTTTGCGCAATCATGTTGTTTACTAATTTTAATTTGTAATAAGCCAGCTTTCGTGAATTCTTGAAATTTTCTTCTTAGGATATAAGTTTATTGCATATTTTAATGTGAAGATTTAAAAAAAAAGATTAAAATAAAATTTGAAATTGCAGATAAAAGTTGGTTTAAATGAATAAAAGTTTACGGCTGTTTTTTCGTTCTTTTTCACTAGAAATTTTCATAATTTGATGGCTCGAGCTTATTTTCCTTCTCTATTAGCTTGTTATGCTCGGTTTTTCTAGTTTAAAAAAACGGTTCCAAATGTAATTTGCTTTAAATGTTTTTGCTCATGCAGTCAAGCCAGTCGTTAAGCCAGTGTTTATTTTGCGGTCGTCTCTTGCTTTTCATTTTTTTCTTTTCTAATTTGCTCCTGTGCCTATTAATCGAAAAATTGATTTGTGGGAAAAGTATTTATAATAAAAAATTTTCTTTTTATAACCTATAGTAATTCGAAGAATTTTTGTAATCATGTGGGGATAGAATGGCTCGGTGGATTATTGCTCAGTTCGGGTCGCCGTTGCTGAAGTTTTATACCCCACAGAAGTAGACTTGTCCAAAAATCCCTTTTTAAAATTCATAGTTTATCAGGATGCCAGATAACATTAATATGCCAGATAATATTTTACTCTATTAACTCTTACAGTAAGAAACGACCGAAATGCTGCAGGAGGCTGAGAACTGGAGATTCCATTTTCTTTTGTGGTGGATAGGTGGCATGAGTGATTCTTAACGGATTAATATGAATATTCGCACAATTCTCTGGTTGGATTGGTGTTTGATGTCTTTTAATGTTTATGAGGGTTTTAAAGTAAAAAGTCACGGTGAAAAAATTTCGGTGACACGTGGTTAGAGATTTTCATACTTTTAATGTGAATTGATTTGAATTAACGCTTTATTTATCAAATCTTTTAAGAAACATTTTTCCTATGCTAATTGTTTGAAAAGTCGACGGATTCAAGGAAAAAATATAATAAAAAAGACTTTTGAATAGAAGTTGTAAGTGCTAGAGATTTTAAAAAAAGCAAATTCATATATTTTGTGTTTGTTGTATTTAACTATGAAACTATATAAACTGTACTGTTACTTATGAAATTGGCAATTTTACTGTTCGTACGACGAGGACGCAACATTTTTAACTACTGGAGTTTTACACTTTGACATTCAAAACCTCTCGTTTCATTAGACTTTTTTATTGCATTCGAAATTTTTTTTCTGTTTGATCCATCAGGCTCCGTAATACTGCAAAAACCAGCCCGTGTCAGTGGTTGGCCTTAAGTGCATCTGTATAACTCTGACATTTCTTACTTTCTCCCTCTCGGATATGCTCTCTAAACACCTCAGTGAGTTGTGTTAGATCCATCAATTGAGACTATGCATTTTTACCACTTCTGCAATCGTAATTCCTGAAACTGCAGTGGGTGAAATAGCAAAAAATACGAATTTTAAGAAGGCAATAGTGGATAAGTTAAGCACTAAAGTGGGCAACGAGAATTTGGCAATTATGAAGAAAATTAAACGGCATCTGAAGCGGTTTTAAGCGAATTTTATTAAATTAGGACTTGCTCAGAGGTATAACGAAGATTGTATATTGTACGATTAAAATTGCTTTTTCTTATGTAGGGCGGTACTGCAATTATTGGCCTCAGTTGCCATCTTTCCTATATATCTCATAGTTGAATATTGTGGGAGAAAGGACGCAGCCCTGACAGACACCAGTTCTAATTTCGAAGGAATCTTTTAATTCTCATCTATAAAGATCTGCTGCTGTATGCTGGCGAAATGCCTTTGTGATCTCTGGAACATCGTCACATTCTTTTATCCTCTAAATTCAGTTGAATCGAAGGCAGCTGCAGAATTGATAAAACATATGACATATGACGATGTGTTGCTGATATTTAAAGCTGTTCCAACACCTTAATGAATATCTGGTTAGCACAATCACGCCTCGGTCTATTCAGCAAGAGGAAAATAAAAATTTTTGCTGAGATGTCTAGTAGACTGATTCCTCGATAATTTCACAATAGTCACAGTACTTCCTATCACATCGGGAATTGGAAGCAGGATTTATTTGTTTTAGTCATCTGGTATTATTTTTTTTCCATACCAGAGAGAATATTCTGGTATTATTTCTTTTCCATACCAGAGAGTAGTCGATGTGTTATGAATACGGACATCTGAGGAGCCTGATGACCGTCTTCTCCTTTCATTGGCCTTAACTTTCTGGATGACGGAGATTATTTCCTGTTCTCCTGACAGTTCGCAGTTGAAGGCATATGGCTCGACGAGCGATTTAGGCATGCCTGGGGTTACACGTATCGTACGTAGTTAAACTTCAAAGAATTCCTTTCATCTTATGTGGTGATCCTTACTAGCCTTAATACCATTATATCCCGGATCATTTTACTGATCGGTATAGTTTCCTATTATCGCCTAATCGAGCTGCCCTTTCCATTCTCAAGACCATATCACTCCAATAGTAATTTCTGTCCCACCATGATGCAGTTATTGTAACTCTTCGAAACATCCGGTAGTTAGGGTCCCCTATTCGTGCTTTGGCAGCGTTTTCAGATAGTTAGACAGTTGCTTCCAATATCCTACCAGCATATTTTCTACTAGCATATTCTAGTGCTGACTTTTGAAGAGATTCCTTTAGTTCTGACGCTCTTGTATTCATTTGTCTGTAATATTCATTTATCCATTTACGTTCATTTTTCATTGATATTCATACTATTGAGATAATTCAATAATTCAATTTGATACGCGCGCTTACAATCCTTAATATTTTAGTTTGAGATAGTTGAAAGATCTTGAGGGACGTTGTTTCTTGCGAATTATCAATGTGCAAATCTTCATAACATATACTTCATAACATGGCCAGATCCATGAAAGTTCCCTATTTTAGAGTCTCGATAGGAGAAACTATCTAGTATAGGACTATACCAATCGACTAAGATAATCAATCTGGTTGCAATGTTGGTTATCTGAAGAGTTCCACATCTTCTTCGATGCCGGAAGATATATTTGCAAAAAATTCATGTTATTCGGTAAAGCGAATAAGGTTTTCTGCATTGGCCTGACATGTACCTGATCCCAATGCCATATTTGCCAGTTATCCAGTCGTAACCTATGCGTGCATTTCTACCTCTTCCGATTATAATCACTTTTCGGATTAACCACATTTATAGAGATTTTGAATTTAAGTTCCGCATGTGATTCGCGGTCATCTGCGCATGAAATTGAAGCACATATTCTGATGATTTACTGCAACAATTTTTTTTTTTTTGAAGTGAATATAGCCATATGATCGTTTAGCGGTTTCCACTCAATTAAAGCGAGTGGGCTTTTTCAGACATGACAGTCGCTACATCACTTCGCCTCGAGTTAATCACGATGGTAAAACCAATATCTTTGCTCGGAGCTAGGTCTAGTAATTGTTCCCGAGACTCGAAGTGAGGAAGATGAAGGAAGATATAAGAAAGATGAAGACGGACGATATCTCGATAAGCGATATTTAGAAAGAGTGCGGACAGTGATCACTTGGCTTGCAACATTCATAAGCATTCTGACATTCCACGCTGCCATGACTAATACCTCGCTACAAAGAGCAATTTCTTTTGAGCAAGAACATTTTAGTCGCAAGTCTT